AAGTTCTTGATATATTAACAGATATTTCAAAAAACTACTGAAACATTTAAAGTTCTATGTAAATTGTTTAGATTGTAGTTTGGGAGAATCCCACAATGTCATTAAGTTCAATTGTTTTCCTTTCACTAATTGGAAAGTTTCCCTGGCCCATAAAATAATCTATATACTAAATGTTATAGAGTTTATATTATGACTTTTATAGCTAATGCTTTATTCTAAAAAATAGGTGTTCCTGGTTCTGATTAGATCCCCTGTGAAAAGTGAACTTCCCCTTTCTCTCCATTACTTTGCTTTCATTTTTCACTTACTTATTCTAGAGATAAGGGGACTGAGTAACTAAAATTCTGATTAAATCTTAAATAGCTTATCGAGGGTTTTGGGTGATGGGCAAAGGCCTGAGTGCGGTCATATATTAACGCCACTAAGCGTGATTGGTCGAGTGAAATATAGCCATACTTATACATTTTATGATTAGCACCCATTTACATATAGAAGAGCCACCGCGGTCGGGCTTATATGGCCTTATCAACTTATCACTCGACTCGATTGATGATGGTAATCATATTAGGCTACACTCGTGGCGAATAAATTTCGTTAAGTAACTTGTCAAATATTGGCATATTGTTAATTTGGCTGCCGAATAATATTTATTAATGTTAATTTTTAGGCAAAATAAACTTGTCAGTCTGAGTGACGTAGATTGGCGTTTCGAAAGCGTGGATTATAAACTTTTCTGGAGTTTTGCGATCCATTAAAAAGTCAAACAAAACTGATGTTTGTTTTGTTATTATTATTATTTTTGTTATTTTTTTCTTAGGCGCTTAGTTTATACGGATCTGAATCCGAGTCGGAATCTGACGTAGGTGGAGTCGTGGGTAAATGTCAACACATGGCTTTGCGGGTGATCTAATAATATTATTGTCATGAATTGGGTTCTGATTGTGTTTACTTTGGGAACTCGCGCTGTTTGCTCATTTGGAATGCGGCTTGCTTGTGGTTCTTTTTAGATGTTTTTTGGATAAAATGGGTCAATGTTAATCTAATGTGATCAATTTAGCCTTCGTCTAGGGGAATTATATCTTTTCCCATATATATTGATACGAAAAACAGTCCCTAATTGGCACTGCCACCCGCCATTGGTTTATGGTCATTGCTCCGCATTCCCCCTTATGCGATACACTTGAGAGATTACGAGATTGCGCGATCTGCACTCGAAGCGTTTTATATCGCAGATCTACTACACTCTTAGCCTTATCTGGGCGTAATTCCGCTTAACAATTTGATTGCGATATGGCGATCATATAAAGTACGCCCGCGGTGCCTGGTGATTGATAGGAAACAAGTACATAGCGCCGTTAATATGGCCCCATAATCGGTTGGCTATATATGTTACCACTAAACACCTAATAGTGGGCCATAAAACCTCACGAGACAGGAAGTATACATATACAAGGTGCAAGTGCGGGATCATATTTTTTCAAGAATTCTTTAAATGCCATCGAAGAGCAACTCCATAAACTATAATACAATTTATTAATAACAGAACGTGAATGAGAGCAAATAAATTTAATACAGACGATTGCAATGGATCATATATCAAAAGATTGTTCAAAGAATATTTAATCAATATAGAAATAGTTATTTATTGATGTTTAAGAATTAGATTGGCATATTATGATTATTTTACTAGAGTGTATTTTTATTTATTGGTGGATTGGTAATAGCTTCACAATTTCAAAGTTTTGGTTTGTCAAATACAATCATTAATTTATATGGAAAATTAGAAGAGAACGAGTTTTGAACTAAGTTCTAAGACAATCATGCCTTTAAATATTCTATATCGTCATCGGCCTATTTTAAATATTTATTTTATAGTCAACAAAAATATTTTAATTTATTAGATGAAAATGCATTAAAAAGGTTTATTACCTTAGATTATTCACTCGAGTTAACTTTGTTTACTTAAAGTTATTTAAGTAATTATATCTACAATTTATAAATTAATGCAGAATACTTGAGTGAGGTCTTTGTTAATGTAGTTTCAATGCTAAATTGAAACATTTAATTACTTCATTTACCAAACGTTTTTGTACAACTCCAAATAGAAAATTAGTAATAGGTAAATAATTTCCCCCTACTTTACCCATCGCTTTTATTGCTTTTTGAGGTTAATTCTTTAGTAGCTCCCTCTAATTGATATATATTGTGATATGGCAATCAACTGCAATTTGAAGTTTATCACCACAAATTGATTTGTATCCAATTGGCAGGCTTTGAAGAGCCACCCTCCTCCAGCAACTATTTATTCGCACGCTAACCGAATTAAATGAGTAATTTTCTGACGACGTAAATCCATTCCGGATGACGCAAGCGATTGTTTGACAAAATTGTTTCACCAGCAAGTTAATTAATTAATTTATTCACGGATCTCTCTTCGATTTGCAGATTTTATACTCCCGCAGCGAGTGATCCTGGCCATAATGGGCTTCCTGGCCATCCTTAATGCCTACACGATGCGTGTCTGCCTCTCGCAGGCCATTACGGTGCTGGTTGTTAAGAAGAACTCCACGGATGATGACTCTGAGGCTATCTGCGAACCCGACGATCTGGACGAGGGCACAAGCGTGAGTTCCTTAATGGGGATTTATTAAGATTGGCATTGACAAATTACCTTATCATAATTACAGACTGGCGGCGATTACGAATGGTCTGAGGAGCTGCAGGGCTTGATTCTGTCCTCGTTCTACATTGGTTACATTGTCACCCACATTCCCGGTGGTCTGCTGGCCGAGAAATTTGGCGGCAAATGGACATTGGGTATTGGCATCCTGTCCACCGCCGTTTTCACCATGCTAACCCCTCTGGCCATTGATCTTGGTGGCTCTGACTGGTTGATTGTCACTCGTGTTCTGATGGGTCTCGGCGAGGGTACCACCTTCCCGGCGTTGAGTGTACTCCTTGCGGCTTGGGTACCGGCAAATGAGCGCGGTAAACTCGGTGCTTTGGTGCTGGGCGGAGGTCAGGTGGGCACCATTATGGGTAACCTGCTGTCCGGAGTGTTCCTCGATGCCTACGACTGGCCATTTGTGTTCTACTTCTTTGGCGGCCTTGGTGTCATCTGGTTTGTGATCTTTGTAAGTAGCTCCTGAGATATCTGGGGACTTTAACTAATATTAACTAACATTATGCCCTTCCGTAGGTCTTCCTGTGCTACAGCGATCCCGTCTCGCATCCGTTTATCAAGCCCAGCGAGCGCGAGTATCTGCAAAAGGAGATTGGAACCATTAGCCGCAACGAGGACTTGCCTCCGACTCCATGGAAGGCCATTCTTACCAATCTGCCCATGTTCGCCCTGGTTGCTGCCCAGATCGGTCACGATTGGGGCTTCTACATTATGGTGACGGATCTGCCCAAGTATATGGCCGATGTCCTGCAGTTCTCCATCAAGGCCAACGGTCTGTACTCCTCGCTGCCGTACGTGATGATGTGGATTGTGTCCGTGGGCAGTGGTTTCGTGGCCGATTGGATGATCCGTCGTGGCATTATGAACACAACGAATACGCGCAAGATGATGACAGGATTGGCTGCCTTCGGTCCAGCCATCTTCATGGTGGGCGCCTCCTATGCCGGTTGCGATCGTGTCCTTGTCGTGGTCCTCTTCACCATCTGCATGGGTCTGATGGGTGCATACTATGCAGGCATGAAGCTGAGTCCCCTGGACATGAGTCCCAACTACGCTGGCACCCTGATGGCCATCACCAATGGTATCGGAGCCATTACGGGTGTGATTACGCCATATCTGGTGGGAGTGATGACACCAAATGTAAGTTAACCCGGGTGCTCTCTCTAAAAGTTATAACTAATTTGGAAATCCTTTTGCAGGCCTCGCTGCTGGAATGGCGACTGGTGTTCTGGGTGGCCTTCGGCGTGCTCTTTGTCACGGCCGTTGTATACTGCATCTGGGCATCCGGTGAGGTGCAACCGTTCAATAATGCTCCCATCCAGCCACGAACGGTGGACTTTGAGGCGCAGGAACGCAAGCCGGAATCCGGAAAGGCAAGGGCTGCTCTGGAGCACAGCTCCTAGAGGGGATCGCCAAAGAATGTGCCATATGTACTGCTGTACTCTAGTTCAAATGCTGCCAGCGGGGGCGCAGCTCTGGCTGTTGTTCAGATTGCTAGTTTTATAGTATTCCCGATCTGGCCGATGGAGCCCCGGCAGGTGAAGGCAGAAGGCGCCAAATGATTTAATTTAAGCGAATTTACTTACACTCCCCCCGAACGTGCGCCGTGTACTTTTTACCTATTGCTGTTGTAGCCAGGATCGATCCATATCGACCCATCCTTCACATGGCGCACGCAACGTACTCTCTTAATTATTATTTAGTATTTAAATGTAAAAATCGCTTTTCACGTTTAAGACTTAGGTGTGTACTCGCACAGAGCTCGTCGTCGTATTGCCGTATTGTAAAGAATCCAGTAATGAAATAATTTGTACATTTTAGATTGTTGATCAATGTGTAAAGTGAAACGTGTTTTAACTGTCCCGTTTAAGGAATTATTTGTTTTTATGACGTTAGTCAAATAAAGTGTATAAAGCAAATTGTAATCCATAATTATGGTTTCTTATTTTGTTTTTTTTTTTATAAATTATATAAATAATTTAACCAGAGCAATCTCGCTGAGTTGGGTTTTCGAATTACTAAACGTTTTCAAAATGCTGGAACCATTAGAAACTCAAAACCCTGAAAGCTTAAGCCTATTTTTTGAGCTCTAATTTTAAGGTTATTTAAAAAACCTCTACATAAAACAAATTCTCTGAATTCTACGTTTTTTTATGCGACATTTTTTAAACTTCTGAAGCACGCTTTTGGGCTTTGTCAATTACTTTGATAAAAATAATTGTACTACCTTCTAAATAGTTACTTTATCTTTAACAAGTATATAATAAGTACATTTTCTGACAAATCAGATAAATATAATTATATAAGCAGTAGGCTCTCTCCTTTAATTCTCAGTTTTGTGTTAAAAACAAGTTATTATAATGCTGCCCGCTGTTGAACAAAAGCTAAGCCAAGTGTTTATATGTGAGTAGAAGAATCCTTTAAGTATCTCTATAAGAAGCCACTGTCGCCACTATCCACACAGATCTTGATGTCAGGCAGCGCGTAGTGCTATGTTGCTTCACGCTTTTGGCCATTATCAATGCCTACACCATGCGACTGTGTCTGGACTTTTCGCTGACCCGCATTGTCTCCGAGTGCGACGGGGTCAAGGGTAGCCACAGTTCCGGCGAAGCACTGCTTAATCCAAAGGGTCTGCCCAACTGGAGACTGGAAATGGCCATAAACCTGAACGAGACGAAGAACCTTTTAATAAATAGGTTAAAAGCAGGAAGGGATCAGGGTCAACCTAAGGTGTCCAGAAAGAGGCAAAGGGATCGACGGAAGAGCAGACGGGAGAGTTCCACAATAACCCCTATCTTCGGTTCCGGTGAACGGATTAGCTGCTCGGAACTATGGTCCCGACAAACACAATCTTTGGTAGTCGTGGCCTTCTATGCGGGCTACATGATCACCCATGTTCCCGGCGGACTTTTAGCGGAGCAATACGGCGGCAAATGGGTCCTTAGTGTATCCATCCTTACGTCGGCGGTGTTTACTCTCCTCACCCCGGTTGCAGTGCGTAGCGGAGGTCCCTATGTCCTGATTGGTATCCGTCTTATGGTAGGTCTGTGCGAAGGTCCTTGCTTTCCGGCTGTCTGTGCCCTCCTGGCCCAGTGGGTGCCCGAGCAGGAGCGCGGATTGCTGGCCAGCTGTGTCCTCAGTGGCGGCGAGATCGGCATCACAATGGTCCAACTGGTTAGCGGATTGGTGATGGCCGAACAGGACTGGCCTCTGGGCTTCTATCTGGTTGGCAGTGGTGCTATACTCTGGTTCCTGGGTTTCGTAAGTTTATCAAGGAATATATCAGCATCTATTTTCTCCACTCTTTTGTAGAGCCTCTTGTGCTATAGCACGCCAGATCACTGCCCCTTCATCCAGAGCGAGGAGCGTGACTACATCAAGAGCAACACAAGCGGTTCGCTGCTCATGATCACCAGTCGAGGAAGGGTTGTCAGAATGGCCACAGATTCAGGGGAGGAGGAACCTGCCAGAGAGGGATTTCAGCGCGAAGACACCATAATAATCAACCCACCGGCGATACCATGGAAGAGCATGCTCACCAGCAAACCGCTGTGGGCTCTCGTTACTGCCACAATGCAGCATGATTGGAGCAAGCAGGATCTGCCCAAGGAGCTGCAAATGGTGTTGGAAAAGGTACGATCAAATGGTCTGTGGGAAGAATTCGTCGCCATACTCACGGTGACAGCTCCGCACGTTGGGAATTGGTTGGCTTCGCTGACCACAGGTCAGCTGAGTGATTTTCTCATTGCCCAGCAGATCCTCACCCGCACGCAGACTCGCCGTCTGATGTCCTGGCTGGTCCTTATATGCGGATCCATGTACATGGTGCAGTTGAAGGTGCAGGGATCACAGATCTGGCACATTTTGGCCAAGGGTGCGTACTATGCAAGCGTCAAACCGCTGCCACTGGACATGAGCCCGAACTATGCTGCCACTTTGACGGGCATTTCGGGTGGACTGGGCACCCTGCCGAGCCTCCTTACTCCGTATCTAGAGCAGCTGGAAACGGATTATGCCGTGGTGGGTAGCGTCAGAGCTGCGCTCTGGATAATTGCTGCCAGCTACATCTCCGGCGATGTGCAGGCATTTAACCAACCGGAATTCGAGCCGCAAAGAGAGGACAACTAGCTTGTTATTTGTTATTAATCTTACGCTTAAACATAAGCTAGTGATTTCTTGTCTTAGTGGGTTCCTTAGGCAACAGGTTCTAGATTACATAATTATGTACCATAATACATGACGATTTCTATATGCTATATATAGCTATAGCTAGAGCAGCATAAACGTAAACAAGCTTTATATATATATATAAATAACAGGTAAATGATGGTCGATATTAACTTAGTTGGAGTAGGCTTGCTCCTGGTGGTGCGTCTGTGGCTAAATGCTCCGCTCCCTACTCGCTGCTCCACTCTACACGATTTCTTGCGGCATCATTCCTGTCTGAGCCATAGCCGAAACTGTGTTCATGTCGATACCGAGCTTCTTGGTGACATTAATCTGGGCCATCGCCGCATTCCGCAGAGAGTAGACATGTATTAACTCCGCCTGGCTCTTGGCGTACAGCAGGGCCTTCTCAAAGAGATCGACGGCGTTTTTAAGCTGCGCCCGCTGCACCTCCACAGTTCCTAGGGTCTCGTAAGCCAGCTCACACTTTGGATCCACCTCGATGGCCTTATTAAGCAGTTTAACGGCTGTCTCGACGTCGCCGCGCCACTGCAGCACCATGATGGCCTGATGCACGATCAACGTCGGATTTGTTGGCGCCAGTCGAATGGCCTTCTCGTAGTATTCCTGTGCCTGATTGAACTGCTGCTGGTCAGACAGCACCTGGGCCATCAGGCTGTAACATTCGACGCAGCTGGGGAAACGCTCAATTGCCTGTTCAAAGCTGCGCATCACGCCTTCCAAACGCCTTTGGTCTCCGGCCAGCAGGGACAAACGGTACTCGGCGTAGCACTTCTGGACGAAGGCAATGGGGTGATTAGGCGCAAGGCGCACAGCCTTGTCGAATTCAACCAACGCGGGCTCGATCTGCTCCAGCAGCAGCAGAATTTGGGCACGCTGATGATACACATCTGGGTTTTCCGGCTTCAGCTTCTCCGCCTCTTCAAAGTCGGCCAGACCCTTCTCGCGCTGGTCCAGCTGAATATAGAGAGCGGCTCGCTTAAGGTAGGCGTAGGCTCGCAATGTGGGATCAGCATCGGCTGTAAAAATGGTATCATTAGTTAGAAATCAGTGGACAAAACATTTACAGAGCGTTTTTAAACAAATACATCTGCGGATATGGATATTCTTACCATTTTGAAGGATGGCATTGAAGTCCTGCTCGCTCTCTGTGTATGATCCGCACAGAAGGTGGAAGGTACCGCGCATGAGCAGCGCCTCGACCTTGTACTGTGCTTCCGCTTCCGACGACTCGATCTCCTCGGTGCAGGCGGGTATGATGTCGTCGTACTTCTCCTTTAGGTAAGCTTGTCTTGCTCTCAGGAATCCCTTGGCCGGTGCCAGTTCTGTGTCCTGGGCTGGCGGGAGTTCCATGGTCTGCAGCGGATCCGCAATAAAGGAGCGCATATAGGTATTGACGAAAGAGGTCGAGGGCACAACGGGTATCCTGGTGAGCATTCCCTTCTCGGCATCCACACGGCCAGTCTCCTTAAGGACGCGGTCCGCGAACATGATGGTCTGGTTGTTCTGGAACATCTCGAGAATGCAGGTGGCGGTGACATCGTCCAGGCACTCCATCATGTCTTTAGTGGCCTCGTAGGCACGGGCACGACGATAGTAGGCCTTGGCATAGCGCGGATTAAACTCTAGGGAAGCGGTGCAGTCCTCCTTCACCTTGGACCACTTCTTGAGCATTTCATAGGAGGCGGCACGGTTCTGGTAGAATATGGCCATGTCGGTACGGTGCTCCTTGGGACATTTGTCGATTGCCTTGTCGTAAAAGTTGATGGCCTCGTCATATTTGCCGTTCCGGTAACAGATGTTGCCCTCGTTCTTGTAGTTGGTGGCTTCCTTCAGCGGCGACAGCTCCTCTCCGAGCTCGGCGGACTTTTTCTTTCGTTCCAGCTCCTTGTCCGGAGCTGTCCCGTCGAGGGAGATGCCCTGCTGCTCGATTTTGCCCTTGGCGCGCTTTTTCTCTTCCACGTCCACATCCTTGGCCCTTCCGTCGGGCGCAGCGGTCCAGCGCTTAACCGCATATGTGCCCAACCCAATGGCCAGGGGAGCGCCGAGGAGTAGAGCCACCTGCCATTTGTTCAGCTTCATCGAGCCAATACTGAGGGACATCGCCATCGTGCCGGAAGCTTCTCAGTTGTGTGTATGCGTGCACGGACTGCAAGGAGAAGAGATTGGTTTGGTCAGCGTCGGATCGTTGGTAATTGTGTAATACACCGGCTGGCTTATCGCTCGTCGCCTTTGAGCCCGCTAAATGCCGGGCGGGGGGCACGATTCTTCTTTCGCCTAACCCCCAACCCCATTGATTTTTCACACCCTCAAAACTGCGGGGTCGGTGACACAACCCATGCACGGACGCTACTCACACTTTGTCTAAACTTAAAACTGCTGTGAATTTAGCAAATAAAGAACGGGTTTTGAACTATTTTCAGTTAAAACTTTAGAAACTTGGATTTATTGTAACTCTTCCGAGCACACGAAGGAACAGTGTGACTAAGTAGCCCCGATTTTTTCGTTGGGAATGACAAGTTTTCCAATTCGTCGTGTGAATGGAATTTAATGCATTTGCAGTACGGTCCCACTCCAATTGGAAAATGTTTCGGTCCCAGCAGTGAAATGTTTACAAGCAATTTAAATTCCAAGAAATGCAGTAATTTATATATATTTTTAGTTCATTCCATTTATTTGGATCCTTTCATTAAAGATACTTAATGTTTCGGTTAAATCCCTGATTTTAATGGTTAAAACGAAACATTCTACCGAAAACCGAACTAAATAATTATCCGTTGCTGTTGTTCAGATGTTGCTTGCCAGTCACACAAAACCGCGTGCAGACCAAAATAAATAGTCTTTTAAGAGTACAATCAATGTTTTTACAAGTAATTCACTAGAGCTGGAATACAGTTAATCTAAGAGCGAATCTCCTCCTCCTCGCTGGCCGTATGACCCGTGATAGGTGCTGGAACTGTGGTGGCGGGCGTCTCGCCGTCGGCAGTCAGGACTTTCTGCAGATTCTCCGGCTTCACCAGGCCATGAGCGTCCGTGTAGTGCATGAGATCACATATTGTGGGCGACTCGACGACCAGGATGTACTGGCACGTCTTCGGCTCCAGCAGATACATGGACACGGCAGTACCGCTGGTGGTAACCGGTGTGCAGGTAAGCTTGACGTCCACTTCTCGGGGCAAGCCAGTACGGTCGCAGTGGGTACCCTTGCCGTAATGATGCCAGATGGAGGATGTAAAGCCGGCACGCCGGGCGCCCTTATCCGGATTGGAATTGGCCCACTGGCGATGAGCTTCCTCGGAGAAATAACCCAGAAACAGCTCCACCTCGCTGTTCTTGTCCTTGTGGAACTGACGTACATGACGTCCGTAGCAGAATTCATACTTCCACCAGCCGTTGCCCTGCAGATAAGGTAATATTAACTATAATCACAGATAATTTGGGGATCTTCTTACCCCAACTAAGCAATTCTTGCCCGAAACGAACTCCTTGATAGGCGTCAGATCGGTGACGGGAGTGGGAACAGAGCCGCCGGCAGTTCGGCTTAGCAGAAGCTTTTGGTAGTCGCCGTCGACCTCGAGGTCTCCATTGCTCATCATTTCCAGAATGATTTTATCCACATCTCCGCTGTACTTGAAGGTCACCATGTCGCCATCAGCCTTGGGCCAAAGCTTAGCAGGTGGCTTGCTTTCCTTTTCTTTGGAGAGGAGTAAATCGGCCTCAGATTCAGCCCACTCACTTAGCTCCAAACGAAGCATACTCAGTGGTCTGTGGGGCTCAGTTTCAGAGTTGAAGCACTTGATAGACAGCTCCTTCGTCTCCTCGGCATGGAAGGCAGGGATGACGCACAGCGCGGAGGTGAGGATAATGGCTTCGTAATTACACGAGGAGGTCTCCTTGAATGAGTAAATATCGTCCTTGCCATGCGGGTAGCATACATAGCGCACCATTGTAGTTCGGGGAGCATCGATAATGTCGCACATGGTGCCGTCGTTGAACTCCATCTCGAAGTAGGGATATCGGGTGTTGTCGATCTTGAGGGTCTTGTACTTGGGCTTGCCGCCATTCTTCAGTTCAGCCGCCCAGGCCTTGCTCAGCATCTCTGTCTTGTCGTCACCCCACTTGCCCAGGTAGTATTCTTGGAACTTGATGTTTTTTCCCTCACGCTCTTCATGATACTGACGGACATGATGTCCGTGGCAGATTTCATACGACCAATAGGCCTCGATGCGGTACGAACAAGTCAGAGCAGAGAAGATTGGCTGCAACAGGCTAATAGGAGCTGGCGAAAAAAGGAAGGAAGAGAGTTGCAAAGGAATTCTCAAGAAAAACACACGAAACTTACACAACTCCGGCTTGTCGGACTTCTCCTCCTCCTTCTGGCGTTCAAATGTGGGAATCAGACACTCGTACTTCTCCTTGTCTGGTGTGTAGAACGTCCGCAGCTGATTGCCCAAGTCCTAGGCGGTATTAAATATTGAATTCTATAAATTTGATAACGTTTGTCCTACTCACTGGTTGTCCAATCAAATCCGGAACTTCAAAGTCAATTTTGTACAAAATTGAATCGTCAAAATCTTTGGCTTCGTGGGCTGCCGCTGCAGTGAACAGGGCCAAAACCAGGGTTAGTTTTATTAATCTTCTTTGGACGCTATTCATTGTTGCTGAATTTTTAACACTTCAAACGATTCTACATCGGTTTATTTTATTGCAAACAAAAAATATTTGTTAATAGAAGAGCTACGTGTTGTTTTCTTCCAAAAATAGTGAACAGCTGTAGCTCCCTGTAGCCGTTGCACTGTGAATGCGCATCGGGAGAAGAAGAAGTCACATACTTTGTTTGTGTGAATGCTTATTTTTAAAAATTTAAATATTCAAAATGTGACCGTTATTTTCTTAAAAATTGTTGAGATTTGCAATATATTAAAAATACGATTCGTTAGTTATATTTACTTCCATTTAATATTGATTCTTGTTCCTCATCAACAGCCTCTTTGTATCCATAGAGATTGAGTGATAGCGAGAGCGCACGAGAGTAAGAGAAAGCTATCCCTTACACTCTTATGCTCTCTCTCACTTTCTCTGTTCTCTTTGCTCGGGGACTATAAATACAGGCGCTGCTGCCGAGCTGGCCTCATTCTGTTCGCGCCTCCCCAGTGTTAACATCTAAAGTGATGGTGGTAGTGCTTTTCCCTTCGACTCGAAAATATTACCCTGCCAATGGATTACATGTGGATAACCAGGAAGAAGCTCTGGAAGAAGTAAAGCAATGACGTGTCCTCTATCTCTAGATAGAGTGAAGTCGCACTGGCCTCATTCTGTCCGCAGCCTCCCCAGTATTTACATATAAAGTGATGGTGGTAGTGATTGCCCTTCGACCCGAAAATATCACCTGGCCAATGCAATACATCTGGATAACCAGGAGGAAGCTGATACTTAATTGAAGTCACCACTGGAAGGAATTTAGCAATGACGAAAAAGGATAACTATGTGTCTTCCACTGTGGTAAGTCTTAACCATGACTATTATTTCATGCATATAGATGTTATAGGAGGGTATCAGTCCTAGGTCAATAATCATCTGAGCAAGCTATGCATTTATTTTCCAATTAGTTCACCTATTGCCATGGACCCCAATACTTAATTTTAATTTAAAGTGATACATCAATTTTGCTTAAGGGCAAACGTATACTAAATGTTAACAGCCCAACTTAATTATAAATTATTCATGAATATTGATTTTTACCCTTACGATAATTTTCTTTGGCCCCAACTTTTGCTACATTATGATACACTTGTAGGGTATTATAATTTGAGTCAGAAGCTTGTAACGCAGTGAAGGAGTCATTTCCGACCCTTTAAAACATATATATTCTTAATCAGCATTAACAGCCGAGTCGTTTTAGCCATATCCGGTTGAAAAACATTTTTTCGAAATTTGTTAGATTTTATAAAAAAGAGATAAGGGGTGTTACTTCGTTAAATTGTCAAAAATTTATAATATAGGAAAGGATCCCGAATTAAAATAAATGCTTTATTGCCTGAGTTATGCATTTTTTAAACTTTGATTTTTACGAAAAAATTGTCATATTGATTAATATTAATTTAAGGAATGCGCATATATTTAGCTTATGATCGATTTACGATACGTGCCTATAATGCAATTACAAACTGCAAGGTATATAGGCCTTGGCTTTCCGAAGTTAGTTTCCTTTCTTGTTAATTACTGTCATTATATATGTATTATAAAATAAAAAACAAACTAAAACCATACATATTTTCAAGTTTCTTTAATATTTGGTTTATTTAACTTACATTCCCTTTTTCCCATATTATTCAAAGACTAAATATTAAACACAATTTAAAAGTTATCTTCAACATTATTATATTTTCATTAACAATTATCGCGTATGATTACAGATTCCCTATCTCATGCCCGTCGTCGTGTCTGTCGTTTGGCCTGTAGACCAGCCAGGCTCCTTGGTCTTGTCATGATCCAGAGGCATCTTGTCGATGGCATCCAGAATAAATTTGACGGAGTGCGCCGTCCGTGGAATCCACTCCATGATGCGGGAGGCGGTCGAGACGGGCGGTGTGGTCGTCGCATCACCGTCGTCCACGAAATCGGCATCCCCGCCAGACAGAGAGCGAACGCCGCCCAGATAATCCGTATAATCGTAGTCACTGGTCAACGGATTCACCTTGGAGTAGTAAATGGCAGCAAATGTCGAGTAGATGATCAGCAGTGCTGTGCCCACCTTTGGATTAAGGATGCGGAATAAGGTAAGTCCAACGTTTTTATTAAAGTAAATTAGCTGAAATTACCTGAAAGACAGCCCAGAATTTGTATGAGCCCTCTGTGATAACGAAGTCATAGTAGCCTTTGAGGGGATCGCCCTTGATGTAACGCCCTTCGCCCACATCCGTGTCCGCCTTGTCCTCCGTCTCGGCTTCACGTCTCTGTCGCAAACCTCGCACCGATCTCAAGCTGGCCTTCTCACCCTTGCGTGATTCCACTTTAGCTGACGATGGTGTTACCATCTCAACTTTCTCCACCTTCTCCGGCTGCTGCTCCTCCTCCTCCTCGGAGCTATCTGGTGCAGAAGTCGTGGTGGAAGTGGTCGTGCTGGTAGATTTTGTGGTTGTTGTGCTGGGCCTCTTGCCCTGGTTCTTCTTGTCTCCTTCCACTCGCTGTGGTTTCTTGGAGTTTATCCTCGTTTTCTGCTGCTGCTGCTGACGTAGTCGATCCTTCTCCGCCTGCTTCTGTGCCTGTTCCTTGCGATACTTCTCGGTGCTCTGCTGATGGCGCTCGCTAACAGCGTTCCAGGCGCTCATCAGAGCCTGATATAGATCCCAGATCTGCTTAAGACTCTTTAGTACGGTGACCAGTGTGGACTCGCTCTGAACTTGGGGGGCTACCGCAGTTTCGGGAGCAGGCTGAGCTTGTTTGGCCATCTGTGTTTCCGGGTGTGGAGGCGGCTGGAATCCCATGGGATAGTCGTAGACCTCATCGTAGGCAGGATAGGGGGATCTAATAGTTGAAAAGCAACCAGTATTTATTAAATAAATCAAATGTTCTATTTAAAAAAATTGGCTATTGGTAAATTACGTATAATATTGTGAAATTGTGTCATAATAATGGACAAATAAACATAAATAATATATATTTATGTATATGTACCATTTGTGAATCTTCGAACTGCGTCTCATTTGTTATTAATTTATAATATGCACTCGACTGATATGGAATTTGCAGAGTGTTTTCATTCTCATTTTGATTAAATATTGCGGGTTTTTTGTTATTTCTTTTAATTTTATTTTTTACTTTTAACTTTTATAAACCGAATACCGAATGAAAATAGAAAAACCTACTAGAAGATTTTAATTCAAAGCGATTTTATGCAAAACAAATAATAAAGATAACTTCAAAAACTCGAAATTGCATACCCCTTCAGGAAATCTATCATAACAAAGCCAAAAATGCATTAATTTTTATTCGGAAACTTTTCCTATGCTGGTTTTTTATTAGGTTAATAAATCTGCATATTCAATCATTAATTTAAAATTTTCAAATTAAAAAAAAATTAAATTTAATTCAGATATAATATATGATTTATAGGGTCGGAAATGACTCCTTCATTAAGTTTTAAGCTTCTGACTTAAGTCAAAGATAGTCATAGTTGGCTATATCTGCCATCAGTATCTTTAAAATCCATATTATATTAAAACTGGGTATTGTTTGGTTCCTATTTCTTGTATAGTTTTAGGTGTAGATAACTTACCTGTTGGGTGTAGCCTGCAGCTTCCTGTTATTCCCTCAGCCGCAGGATGAGTGGCCACTGGTGCTGGTTTCTTTGAGTATGCCCAGGGAGCGTAGAAGGAATCATAGGGACGAGCCTGAGACGCCCTGCCCTCTTCCGTCTCTTGCGATGATGAGATATCCTCTTCAGCTGGCTGCTCTCTAGACTCTGGATAGGGATATCGTCCTGGTCCATAGTCGTCCGCCACATCGTAGTAGGGATCCTGTTCGTAGGAGTCGTCTCTACTCTGAGGCGGCCCGTAGGCATCTTGACGCTGTCCCATCACGGGATCCATGCTCTCCGCATTAACTACCACTGCCTGCTGCTCCTCATAGAAGTTTCTGCTCTGTCCATGCGCCATAGGCGGAGATTCCGTGCCATTGCCAACTTCCCGAGCAATTCGCTCCACGGTTGCGACTTCCGTATCGTTCTCCGCACCTGCCTTGAAATGATTCCACATGCGCGTGAGGATCAGGAGATCACTCTGACCGGCAGCAGTGTTCTGTGCGCGTCCAGCTTCGATGACAGCCACCGCTGTAAGGGTAGTCACAAATAGGAGCAAAGTGATCACAAGAAACCAAACTGGCGACAGACGCCGCGGCGTCTTCGCTGACATCTCTTCGTAGGCTGACATTATTCGTTTTACACTATTGTTTTCTTTCTTATCCGGAGCGAATCCTTTTCTTCTATCACTAGGAGACACGGCACGGCCAGTCGGCTCGGAGTTTAATCGTCAACTAAACGGACAGTCCCAAATGCTGCTCCAGAAAAACTCCACCTTTGCGGATGGTGCTAATGGTGGACATGGGCATATCTAGAACATCGCCGTAGTAGTAGAGCTCACTCTTTGAAAGGTGCTAATCCATAGGCCGCGTGCATCATCGTTATTGGGCCACTGCTCCAGTTTCGATTTAACGGTTCATCCGACTCCGAGTGCCACTCCAATTAGCACCATATCCAGTACTCTCCACAAACCGATCCGATTCGATCTTCTGCTCCATTCATTTATGCATAATCTCAGACCACAAATTCGTTTTTTTCGCGGTGAAAGTGTGCAATATGGTTCTCTTCTAGGAAGATGGGTGAAGGGGGAACCCGAGTCTAGGAATTTAGGAGCTCGTAATTGGATAGTACGGTTCTGTGGACCCATGGAGCCATCGTGGTTCATCGTCTGTCGTGTGGCACGCGTAATCACGATCTTTGGGGGCTTACATATTTACGACTACAATACACATCTTCACAGCTTCACAGGGGGCAGCGTGTGTCTTTCATTATGGACCGAGAAAGCAATCCATTTCTACAATTAAGTTATCTTCTGGTAAACAACAAATAAGCACTAAGTAGCAGGTTTTATCCTAGACGACAAAAAAACAAGAAAGAAAGTTAACTTTGGGAAAACAAAGTTTGTGCAGCCTTTGCTGAATTTTTAATCTATCATAACTTAGCCAAAAATTCATTAATTTTAATTCGGAAAGCTTTACAATATTAGTTTTTATCAGGTTCAAAAATCTACATACTCAGTTTAAAATTAAAAAAATTGAAATTTTTTCCAAAAACATAACAAAATTTTCAAAATTTTGAAAACAATTTATTTCAACCGGGCATGGCTAGATTGATTCAGCTGTTGTTACTGATCAAGAATATATATTATTTATAGGGTCGGAAATGATTCCTTCACAGCGTTACAAGGTTCTGACTAAAATATAATACCCTGCAAGGGTATAATTAAGATTTAAGGGTATTTCATTTAGCTGTTGTTTAATATTAATAACTCTTACTTATAGAACTTTAATAACAAATGTCTGAACATAACATTTTTCCTACCTAAAATATATAAATATAAATAAAAGGGCTTAAAACATATGGTAGATTTTAAAAATGCTTTAATTCTTCATTTGGGCTGTAGAATCTAAAGATATAGATATGATAAAATGTAGATACATATATTTTATTATAATTTAGGGTAATTTGCTTCGATTTTAAAACAAATTGCACAATTAATAATTCTTGTACTTCCACAAGAACTGTCATAGGAATTTAAAAGAAACATCTACCATAAATTTATGTTTTCTTTTAGCTTGATTTTAATTTTGAATGCCTAAAATGATTACTAAAGAGAAAATGAATCAATTTGTATTACCAAAGAGTAATAAAAAACATTTACTTATGGTTGGCAACTTCCACTGACTTCTAGATCTTACCTGAATTTCTAATGCGTCATTTATTTACCGGCAAAACGCACCGAGCCAAACTAGTTTCGTTACCCTCAAAATTGTTTACACGATTTTGTTTAGTGAATTTATCACTTGTTCTCCTCTAAAAAAGCTCTGGTCGTAAACTTTTTGTTATTTGTGTTTGTTGTTTTGTTTGAAACCTTCGAGTTGTTGATAGCGTGTCAATGTCCAAATCATAATTCAGTGATATTCTAGTTTCATTAAAATACAATGGTTAAATTCTAATAGATTTTATTAAATAAATAACAATATAATTTCTATAAAATCAGTTATGTATAAGAATTTTGATATTTTTGAATAGATTCATAGATTTTCGGAAAGATTCCATTTGAAAGATGAGGCAATTTCCAGAAACTTCGGAAACTGATAGCAAACTTCCAGAAACAATTTAATGAGTAATAAAAATGCAATTTGACACAGATAAAACACATCGTGAATTTCGGTTGGTAAATATTTGTCATTTGTTGGGGATGATTAACATTCGGCAGAAGCATATGTATAGCATATAGGAAAACCACCTGATCGAGAGTCTGTTTTATTGTTTACCAAATATCAACAACGCAATTTAAAAAGCCGGCAAATGCCTCAAAGAGAGTAGCCCAAGAGAGGGAGAGTGGCATTAGAGTGGACCTTTCTAGAAAAGTTTCATCAATCTATTTATGTATTACATTCATATATGTTTGTATATGTTTATGTTTGTTTATTTGTGGATGCGTGTTAATGGAAAAAAACAACGATGTTGTAAGTTTCCACATAAAATGTAAAAATACATTTTAAGTATAGTGGAAAGACTATAAATTTTGATCAATATGCATAAATGCACTTCACTTTCTCATTTACACAAGCTAACTAAAACCGGAAGGTGTATTGAGCATGACAATGTATGCATGTAAGTTAATTAAGCGTGTGTAAATTGTGAACTTTCAATGGAAGGTCGCGGAAACATTTCCGTTTCTAAAATACACACCGTATTTCTAAATGTGAATCGCAAGTGCATCATACATATATACAAATATACATAAGTATATATGTGTACGATATTGCAGTGGAATCGATGACACTAAACAAAGAAAAACAAAAACTCTGGTGCAATTGCAGTAGCGATAATCGAGGAGTTGGGTGCAAATGAGTTCAACTAAAAGGCTATAAATATGTTTATACGTGAGCTTGAGGCGCACCAATACACTGTCAGCATTGGAAAGCACTCTCACACGTATAGTGCATACAAATACCTTGCTGTAAAATTATAAAAAAAAAGAATTGCACTTTAAAAATACACACATCATTCAGTTTTGGTTTTCTCTTTATTTATAAGTAATACCTAAATCAAACTTCATAATTTGAAACGCACTAATGCTTAGCAACTAAAACGTGTAAGTCTGAATTAGTTTAGGAATATTTAGAAGCTAAGAGTAGATCTGCCTTTTTTGAGTTTGTGAAATTATAAGCAAACTAAAATTATTATAAAGTTCACAAAGTTTTGCGCCGCATGAAAACACAATGCAATTCCTAATGCAATATGTATTCCCAGGTGGCTTTGTTGTTCTCTCTCTTCTCTCTTTCCTTTTCCTTCTCCTTTTAGCGACTGCTGTGATTTTTCAACCTTTTTTCTCGTTTAAATTCGAAGATTTCTTTTCTCTCGCACCTTCCCACGCGCTGCGTTCTCCGCCGCTCACTTTGCGTTCCCGTTGCCGTTCCCGCTCCTCCGATGCCCTGCATCAGTTCTTGCAGGCGGCCGCCTTCTTGTTGTTGTTGTTGGTGTTCATAAGCTTTGTGAGGATTTTGCGGGAGTGTCCAGAGGGATCAAAGTGATTGGTGTGCTCGGTGGCCTCCTTCTTGGAGCGCTGCTTGCCGCTGTGGCCAGAGAAGATGTGCTTGTCATGGTCGAAATTGTAGTGCTCGTACTCATCAAAGTGTGCCTCGGACATGGTTGTTGATTTCGTTTCTAGTTTCTTGCAAAATTAACTGCGTTCTTTTTTCCTTTCTTTTGCTTCTTCTTCTTCGTTTTCTTGGTCTCTGCAAAGTTGCAGGCTTAACGAGATTTCCCAGGTGAGTCGCTGATTATTTTTCACTTTTCGCCGAGCGAACGGAATTGAAGTTTTTTCGGTCGAGCTGCGTCTTTTTATACCCTGGCGAGCTTTTTTGGGCGCAGTGGAAAGCTCTCTCCGACAGAGCTGCCAGACTGGAGTAGCGAGAAACATTATTGTTGATTTAAATCCAATAATTGATATAATTTGCTTATCGCATGCAATGTTTAAAAACACTTTTACCAAAGTCAACATAATATCTATGCTAAATTTGAAGTTTACTGCTTTTTAAGCCATCTAAATAATTGGCCAACACTCTGACAACCCTTGAAATGCTCTCTTCCGCTGAGAGAGCCCAATCAGCTTGTCAATTTTTGCTGCGCAATTTAATTTTTTGTTGTTTACAAACTGCGCGGTAAACAAAAAAAGCAAAAACCATACACCGCCAAACATATTCTTTGCCTTGCCCATTTATTTTAATTATTTTCGAATATTTTCATAATACACACGTTTCTGCAGCGAGTGGAAAGTGTTGTTATATAACACCACACACACATTGGCCCCCAAGCAAAAGACCCCGAAAAGTGCATTTACCCAGAAATATCTTCTTCATAGGCGGCCGGGGCAACGTGAGGGGCGGCACATCGCCGCGCTTGGAGGTGCGTTAGAACCTGATCGATCGGCTGACCCAGTTCCTCCCTCTCAGTTCCCGTATAGCTTCTGTTTATTTCAGAATTACTATCGCACCACAGAGCTTTCCGTTTGTTTTGGTCTAATTGTTATTATAGAAACACATCAGTTACGTAGCGCTCAGGTGCTGATAAGGTCGGAACTCTCGCTCGGGTTAGTCATTGGTTCTAGAAACAACGCAATAGGTTCTAATCACTTACTCTGATTAGATAAGATAAAATAGAACTACTGCCCCCAACATTGTAGAATCTAGAAATAACCTTCCACAATTTATGACAATGTTGTTTACAATACATTGGCAGCCATTTAATTACTTCTTAAATGTTTCAAAACATAAACTAGCTTTTAGTAGTTCCTATAAATATTTACAGTATACAAATGGTGCGTTAATCATTCTTAATATAAACACCTTAATAACTCAAAAATATTTATAATCAAATCATTTTGCTTCGTTGCATCCTGCTACCCACAGGTATAATTTTTTCCCTATTAAATTGATGATGCATCAGAGATCATTTAATATTTGTGTATCATATTATCAATATTTTCATAAATTCCTTCTGTAATCAGATAACAATGAAGCTAATCATTAGCCTCCTGCTTTGATTACACCTTTTCGACAGTCTCCTTTGGCAGTAATATTTTCAAACGCCTCTCGGGGTTTGTTTCCTTTTTAAGCTTCGACTTGACGACTTCCTTGGACTGTTTTTTCTTGGGTGATGGCACAGTGTCGATAATAGGCAGGTCGAAATCGTCGGGAAATGAGCTGTCCACCGTCTCAGAAAGTTCTAGTTGCACCGCCTTTTCCGTGTGCACACGTTGAACGTGCTCCTTCATTTTATCGGAACGATGACTACTAAATCCACATAGCTGACACTTGTAACGATTCGGACCATTCTCCGTATGCTTTAAGGCATGGCGCTTGAGATTCTTACTCTGGCTGAACTTGCAACCACAGATTTCGCAGATAAAATCCCGGCCCTGCTTGTGCGTCTCGATGTGTAGCTTGAGGTTCTCTTTGCGATTGGCGCGATGCTTACATCCTGGAACAGTGCAAGCGAAAAACTCACCTGTGTGGAGCAGTTTGTGGGATTTGAGGGCCTTCATGTGGGTGGTGCTGTAGCCACAGACGTCGCAAAGCATTTGCTTCTCTGGATTATGCACCAGTATGTGATTGCTGAGGCCTTGCTTCCACTTGAAGCCCTTTCCGCAGTGTGGACAGATGTGTGGCGTTTCCGTAGAGTGCTTGGGCTGATGGACGAGTAGCGCTGCCCGCGTTGTGAACCGAATCCCGCACTGCAGGCAGAAGAAGGGCTTTCGCAAATCTCCGGAATGCCTGCGAAGATGTCGGTCGTATTCTCGCCAGTGAAGGAATCCCACCTCGCATAGGGAGCAAGTAAGGTGCGAGGGCTCACAGCTTCCCATATGCTCGATCATCTTCTGTACCGGGTAGCACTTGAAGTCGCAGCCAATGCAATAGTTCACCTTACTGCTAGATTTCACAGCTCTGGGGTTCTTTAACTGAAAATGGACATGGTGTCATTAATAAAGACAGGAAAATGGGTTATGTGCATGTCCTACCGCACCTTAAAGTAGCTCTGCTGATTCTCAAACACGTCCTCGGATTTCTTCACCGGATTCTCCAAGCTTAGTTCATTGTCTCCGGGAACTATAATCTCTGAAGCTTCGTTCACTTCTCCCAAAGGCTGCATCTGGTAGAGGTTCAGCAGCTCGGTGACTGCAAGTATTTGTGCCAGTTCCCGGAAGTGTGGCTCGTGCTCTTTGGATACGGAAACAATGTCCTCGTAGAAGAAATCGACAATCGTATGCAGGCATTGAGTGCAGCTAAAATTTCGGATGGTGATCTTCAGAGGGTTGTGAATGGAAAACTGTTGTTGCTTCTGGTTGGTGTTTATCAACTGACTCTGGGCGGCTAAGACACAAAAGTGGACCCTTAAACTCAGGGCATCGTCGGAATCTAGCTCGAGGAGCAGATCACAGAATTGTCCCGTTCTCCGCTGGTTGTTTAGATAATTTGATACCTTGGAGTGCAGAGGTTGATGCAGTGTGGGCAGGGAATGTATTGCTTGAGAGTGCAACATGTCTTTTAATGATTTATAATGTAAACAACAAACAAAACAAAATAACTAAATGTTAGGGTTTCAAGACGCCGAATCAGCTGTTAAATGGTGTGGTCAAGTCACCTATTTTTCAAAATACTGTTTTAAAATACTGAATAGTATTTTCAGACCGTTATCTGTTGAGAGCTTGCTTTTCAAATTTTTATATACACATTTTAATTTGTATTAAGATAAAGACAATTAAAATGTAAATTATTTTATTTCAACAATCCCAATAATAATGATTTTTGTTTTATCTGCCATCATTGAATAAATATTAACTAATTTAAACAAAATTTTCCGATTGTTCCTATAGAAGATATATGTATATGTATATGTATAGATATATACAATCCACCGATTCGCCATTCTCCGACTTATATAGAAGTAAAATTATATAGAAGATTAACTCCATGGTTTCATTCAAATAGCTTGCTCTTAAATTTGTTTCAAAACAAATGTCGCACATCTGTACATATGATTCTCAACTAGTTCTAACATCCCCGGAACGAAGTGACTGCTGCTGAGCAAGTCTCAGAAAAGTGTTGTGTTACAAAAGTTGCAAGTCATTGTTTATTAGTGTTCATAGATAATTACTGGTCATTGATACTTACTGCTCATAGATACTTCCTGGTCTAAGTTACTCACTGTTCATTGATACTTATTGATCAGACTTAATTATTGATCAGAGTTACTTACTGGTCATAGCTACTTACTGGTCATAGTTACTTAATGTTTATTGATACTTACTGATCATATTTAATAACTGACCATAGTTAATTACTAATCATAGTTCTATAAATCGTCCGATTTTCTCTATGTCAGGTATATATATAGTCCACCGATTCGCCATTCTCCGACTTATATAGAAGTAAAATTATATAGAAGATTAACTCCATGGTTTCATTCAAATAGCTTGCTCTTAAATTTGTTTCAAAACAAATGTCGCACATCTGTACATATGATTCTCAACGAGTTCTATCATCCCCGGAACGAAGTGACTGCTGCTGAGCAAGTCTCAGAAATGTGTTGTGTTACAAAAGTTGCAAGTCATTGTTTATTAGTGTTCATAGATAATTACTGGTCATTGATACTTACTGCTTATAGATACTTCCTGGTCTAAGTTACTCACTGTTCATTGATACTTATTGATCAGACATAATTACTGATCAGAGTTACTTACTGGTCATAGCTACTCACTAGTCATACTTACTTAATGTTTATTGATACTTACTGATAATAGTTAATAACTAACCATAGTTAATTACTGATCATTGTTCTATAAATCGTCCGATTTTTCCTATGTCAGGTATATATATGTATATATATAGTCCACCGATTCGCCATTCCCCGACTTATATAGAAGTAAAATTATATAGAAGATTAACTCGATAGTTTCATTCAAAAAGCTTGTTCTTAAATTTGTTCCAAAACAAATCACGCACATCTGTGCATATGATTCTCAACGAGTTCTATCATCCCCGGAACGAAGTGACTGCTGCTGAGCAAGTCTCAGAAAGTGTTGTTACAAAAGTTGCAAGTCATTGTTTATTAGTGTTCATAGATAATTACTGGTCATTGATACTTACTGCTTATAGATACTTCCTGGTCTAAGTTACTCACTGTTCATTAATACTTATTGATCAGACTTAATTACTGATCAGAGTTACTTACTGGTCATAGCTACTTACTGGTCATAGTTACTTAATGTTTATTGATACTTACTGATAATAGTTAATAACTAACCATAGTTAATTACTGATCATTGTTCTATAAATCGTCCGATTTTTCCTATGTCAGGTATATATATGTATATATATAGTCCACCGATTCGCCATTCCCCGACTTATATAGAAGTAAAATTATATAGAAGATTAACTCGATAGTTTCATTCAAATAGCTTGCTCTTAAATTTGTTCCAAAACAAATCACGCACATCTGTGCATATGATTCTCAACGAGTTCTATCATCCCCGGAACGAAGTGACTGCTGCTGAGCAAGTCTCAGAAAAGTGTTGTGTTACAAAAGTTACAAGTCATTGTTTATTAGTGTTCATAGATAATTACTGGTCATTGATACTTACTGCTTATAGATACTTCCTGGTCTAAGTTACTCACTGTTCATTGATACTTATTGATCAGACTTAATTACTGATCAGAGTTACTTACTGGTCATAGCTACTTACTGGTCATAGTTACTTAATGTTTATTGATACTTACTGATAATAGTTAATAACTAACCATAGTTAATTACTGATCATTGTTCTATAAATCGTCCGATTTTTCCTATGTCAGGTATATATATGTATATATATAGTCCACCGATTCGCCATTCCCCGACTTATATAGAAGTAAAATTATATAGAAGATTAACTCGATAGTTTCATTCAAAAAGCTTGTTCTTAAATTTGTTCCAAAACAAATCACGCACATCTGTGCATATGATTCTCAACGAGTTCTATCATCCCCGGAACGAAGTGACTGCTGCTGAGCAAGTCTCAGAAAAGTGTTGTTACAAAAGTTGCAAGTCATTGTTTATTAGTGTTCATAGATAATTACTGGTCATTGATACTTACTGCTTATAGATACTTCCTGGTCTAAGTTACTCACTGTTCATTAATACTTATTGATCAGACTTAATTACTGATCAGAGTTACTTACTGGTCATAGCTACTTACTGGTCATAGTTACTTAATGTTTATTGATACTTACTGATCATATTTAATAACTGACCATAGTTAATTACTAATCATAGTTCTATAAATCGTCCGATTTTCTCTATGTCAGGTATATATAGTCCACCGATTCGCCATTCTCCGACTTATATAGAAGTAAAATTATATAGAAGATTAACTCCATGGTTTCATTCAAATAGCTTGCTCTTAAATTTGTTTCAAAACAAATGTCGCACATCTGTACATATGATTCTCAACTAGTTCTAACATCCCCGGAACGAAGTGACTGCTGCTGAGCAAGTCTCAGAAAAGTGTTGTGTTACAAAAGTTGCAAGTCATTGTTTATTAGTGTTCATAGATAATTACTGGTCATTGATACTTACTGCTCATAGATACTTCCTGGTCTAAGTTACTCACTGTTCATTGATACTTATTGATCAGACTTAATTATTGATCAGAGTTACTTACTGGTCATAGCTACTTACTGGTCATAGTTACTTAATGTTTATTGATACTTACTGATCATATTTAATAACTGACCATAGTTAATTACTAATCATAGTTCTATAAATCGTCCGATTTTCTCTATGTCAGGTATATATATAGTCCACCGATTCGCCATTCTCCGACTTATATAGAAGTAAAATTATATAGAAGATTAACTCCATGGTTTCATTCAAATAGCTTGCTCTTAAATTTGTTTCAAAACAAATGTCGCACATCTGTACATATGATTCTCAACTAGTTCTAACATCCCGGAACGAAGTGACTGCTGCCGAGCAAGTCTCAGAAATGTGTTGTGTTTCAAAAGTTGCAAGTCATTGTTTATTAGTGTTCATAGATAATTACTGGTCATTGATACTTACTGCTCATAGATACTTCCTGGTCTAAGTTACTCACTGTTCATTGATACTTATTGATCAGACTTAATTACTGCTCAGAGTTACTTACTGGTCATAGCTACTTACTGGTCATAGCTACTTACTGGTCATAGTTACTTAATGTTTATTGATACTTACTGATCATAGTTAATAACTGACCATAGTTAATTACTGATCATAGTTTTATAAATCGTTCGATATTTCCTATGTCAGGTATATATATGTATATATATAGTCCACCGATTCGCCATTCTCCGACTTATATAGAAGTAAAATTATATAGAAGATTAAGTCGATAGTTTCATTCAAATAGCTTGCTCTTAAATTTGTTCCAAAACAAATCTCGCACATCTGTGCATATGATTCTCAACGAGTTCTATCATCCCCGGAACGAAGTGACTGCTGCTGAGCAAGTCTCAGAAATGTGTTGTGTTACAAAAGTTGCAAGTCATTGTTTATTAGTGTTCATAGATAATTACTGGTCATTGATACTTACTGTTCAGAGTTAGTTTCTGGTCATATATACTTACTGTTTAGAGTTGCTTGCTGATCATAGTTAGTTACTGGTCATAGATACTTAATGGTATAGCTACTTACTGCTCATAGTTACTTAGTGCTTATAGGTAATACTTATGAAAGACATGTACTGATCCTCTACATTTAACAACCGTAAAATATATGGTCATTGAAAAATATTTAGAGAAAATAATGTATATTTGTTTAATACTCGACACTCAAACTGAAAGCTGCCGTGTTAAAGCCACAATTGAACCCATCTCGCACAATCTCTCCGTGGATCAGGTTTTTTTTTTATTTGAGCTTCAGTTGAGAGGCGAAGCTGGGATCGAAACGACCTAAACTAAGTCGGTCGGTCGCTTAAAATTATAAATTTATATGTTTACGCGTTCCGGAGTTGAGCATAAATAATAGTAAAACAGGCTATTGTTCAGTTGCTTCCTACAGGAAGTACATATATTTACAAAACCTCCGGAATCTCTTTGTGTTCTTAAAACGAACGTTTCACTGCCAATTAAGACCGAGTGCGAATAAATAAGATCTGATAATTTATACATTCCTGAGAATTTTCCCGCGCCCATTGTTTGGGGTCACAATTGTTCTAGTTACGCAGTCATTGAACATGTTAGATGCAGTTTGTAGGCCAAATCAAACTCAAATCTATGGATTAATTACAGGGGAACCTAAGGGAGAGACAGAGAGACTTCATTTGAAAAGTATACAAACCGATATATTTTCGAGGAAGTCTCTATATTTACATTACAATTTCAACACAGACTTTTCTCGCCAAGCTCTCTCGGTGTCAAGTTCCAATTGTTCGTACTGGTCGCCCATAGGAACCACTTACAGATAAGATCCACCTGGAGCTTGGGGTCTCGGTCCATTAAGCACGGAACTCTCGACGCAAACGGTTGTGATCTCTCTCGGGGTGTCGTGATTACTTTATTGCTCTGATTCCGATCCGCTGATTAATGCCAGTTGCAATCAGTCTGAATCAGTATTAATTCAATCAGAGGACGTGAAATATGGTGGGAAAAGCGTTCCTGCTGACGTTGACGGCGCTGCTCGTCTCCTGGTCGGAGGCACAGACGTATCGCTTCGAGGATCCGAAAAGCCTTAAGCTTTGGTTAACCATTAGTGCGCGCAAACGATTCCTGGAGGTCTCCTGGCGCAATGCACCCGCGAGGAAAGGCGACCGTGTTCTTATCACCACTCAGGAGGCCCATGTCTTTCAGAAACGCCTCCGTTCCGTTGGCACACCCTTGGCAGCCTTTCCCCGGGAAGAGGGTAGTGGCTCGGAAGAGGGATCAGGGAATTATGTGCCCATTAATGGCTACACGGATCCAAACCAATCAGTTAACCAAGAGTTCTGGGTTGCCAACGGCGGAGAGCTGGCCGTCCTGGCTGGGCTTCAACCGAATGTGGGTCTATCCACGCAGTGGTTCACCACTGGAGTGCCCTTCGACTACGAACTGTCCAAGAATGTGACGGCGCAGACCCACTGCTATGGCTTTTGGGCCAGTTACATTAACGAAGAGGGGGACATCCTGGCGACAACCTGCCTCAAGGCTTATCCCCGTTGGATGAACGACCTTAAGTCCAAAATAGGCGAACTCCGCCTGCGGGATCTTTTCATTCCCGGGACCCACGACTCCGGCTCGTATCGGCCAAATTTTGATCCGCTGCTCCGCGAAAACCTGGTGACCAAGTATGCCCTGACACAAGACGATGACATTCGGGGCCAGCTGATGCATGGAGTGCGCTATCTGGACATTCGAGTCGGTTACTATCGCAATTCCCCGGAACAGTTTTCATATATCATGGGATCACAAAGCAACGGCCGCTGCAGGAGGTCATCAACCAGGTGCGGGACTTTGTCCACGAGACCAACGAAATAATCATATTTGGACTTAAGGAGTTTCCAATTGGTGAGAGAAAAAATATGTGAACTTATTCATATAATACAATGTTGTTAATATGTTACAGGTTTTGGCAAGGGATTGGGAGTGCATCGCCTGCTGGTTTCCTATCTGCGGGACCAGTTCCAGGACCTCATAGTCCATCCTTCGCTGAACTGGAGTGCATCGCTTCGTGATATTTGGGCCCGCAAGCAGAACGTGTTCCTGGCCTACGAAAAACAGGCCATGCTGGATGAGTTCCCAGAGACCTTGTTTGGTCCCGTGGACCAGCGCTGGGGCAATGTACAGACTTGGCCGCGTCTGGAGAGATATTTGCGCAACATCAATGAGTTCGATGTAGCGTGAGTTTTGTCTCGATTAGATTAGATTCCCATTTATCTTTTTCCTTTGTTTTCCCGCAGACGATTATACAGTCGTCCGATAGCCGATATGGCGGAGTTGACCCCAGAGACCTGGGACGTCATCCTGGATAAGCATGGCGGCCTACGCAAAATGGCTGACAATGTGAACTGGCGGATTTCACTTCTCTACCGAGATGAGTTGGGGACTCATGCAAATATTGTGGCAGCGGACTTTATACGCGGCACAACCCTAGTGGAAACGGCTATGGATTTCAATCTTCGTAAGATATACGAAGATGCTTCAACGTAGGAGAGTGGGTAAGGTTAGGTTTACACCTAAAAAATCAACAGATTTTAAAAACATGGTCGTAAGGTGAACACACTGAAGGCAAACCACTTGAAAAAGAGGCCTTAATTTCTTTGTGAAATTTGGTTGCATTCATTTAGATACAATTTTAAAATCATTTTAATTTTAGAGCTATTTCTGGGACATTCCCTGTGGCCCCTCTTTTTTTTTTTGTAATTCAGATAAAGTTTTAATTTTATATATATTTTTTTTTATCGATATTTACTATTTTTATAAAAGGAAACACCAAAAAGAAATAATTGAAATGCACTTCCGAATTGTTTGCAATTATACATTTAATTTGCTAAGCGATTAAGTTAAAAAACATCAGTATAACATATGTTTATTATTGTACTGCTGTGTTGTTGCTTCCCTAAACACGTCACATTTGATAGATTGTTCCCATTAAAGCGTATTTCCTGTTTATGCTAAAAAGGTATCAGGATGAAGCACCTAGCCGTAAACTATAAAGTAAACTTTTAGTGGGAAGTAAGCCGAAAAGGCCTTCTATTTTCGTGTAAAACCTGTTAACTAAGGAGCTCGGTTGCTCAAATAAATATGATTAAACTATTACAAATACCAATCGATGACGCCGATTTTGTTTTGAGGAATGCCAAAATGGCCTAACACAAAAAATATCATACAAATGGCGGTAGGGTTTATCCTCTTAAAACTTATAACTGATTTAAATCTCAAATTTAATAGATTTGAGTTTCATAATTTGTTTTCATTTAGTATTTTTGAATATCAAATACGAGTGTATGAACTAAATGCGCCAAGTTCTTCGTGTGTCAGTTCTGCATATTCTACTTTAGAGCCTCGTTAGATTCAATGACGGTGGTATTGAAGATGGCCCGGCAAATCTCTACTACAGAGTTGGACAGCCGTCCGTAGCACTTGGGCTTCTTCTGCCAGGCGATGAAGATGTAGTAGAAGGGAATGCCAGCCAGGGTGATGCCGATGCCAACGAGTAGATTTCCAGGTTCATCCAGATTCGGAAGGAGTACCAGAGCCACGCAGCTTACCATAAATATTATGGGCAGCGCGAGATTTACTTTAATGGGACGCGGCAGGTCGGGCCTGGAAAAGTATAAATACATTTATTATTTATTGTTTAAGATCTTTATCATCATATTAAGATATCTTTTACTGTATAAAACTACCAACCTCTTGTGCCTTAGCCACAACATTCCGGCTATACTGGCCACCACTGAAAGCCATAAAACCGAGCTAAAGTAGTTGATCAACTGGTACACATTATCCGTTAGCAGCATGAGTAATGACATCAAACACTTGAAATAATATATATATGGATATTGATTAGTTTATAGTTCCCGAGAAATATGCAAAATGCCAAGCCAAACTTACGGTGAAAATCAAGGAAGGAATGGGAGTCTGCTGCTTAACGTGGAACAGCTGGAAAAACTTGGGCAGATGTCCCTCCTGAGCACCAGTAGCAAATAGTCGCGCCGATGTGAATAGGACTCCGTTCACTCCGCCAAAGGTGCTCAATGCCACGAAAATGGGAACCATAAAGGCCAAGGGTCCGAAGACGCTATTACCAAAGGTCACAGCAACGGCCAATGAACTGAGCATCTCCGGCTTGCTGACCACGGCAAAATAGGCCAAATTAACCAGAACATAGATGCCCGTGACCAGGGGCATGGCTATCCAAATGGCACGCGGCAGGTTTCTAAAACGAAAAATTATTGTAGTTTAACGGATAATTATGACAGACTTTGGGTATTTCTAGAAACATTATTTTCTTTAACAATGGAAAATTTTAAATTCGTTAAAAAGTTGCGTCAAATTGGGATATACATATGTACATATGTATATAAAAAGGAGAATATTTATTTTCTGTGCGAAAAGGAACGTGCTGTTTCCATTCTTAGCTCTGGCTCTTGTTGGGGTGGAGCACTTAAATTGATTGCTGCGTTTCTCGAGAGCAAATTGAATTCGTTAAAGGAAAAAAGGAAAAGCTGAAGGCAGCATCCTACAAACATCCCTCCCTCCCACTCAGCCGTATGACATCAAGGACGCTCAACAAGTTTCAACTTGTTGCTGCCTGCGCATGACGCAAACGGCATGACTAGGATAAAGAATCCTTGCCAAACCATTTGTCATGTTTGGAAAGAGAATCAGAACCGGCCCCCTCACTCACTTGTATGGATCCTGCAGCTCCTCCGTAACGAAGTTCAAGTAGTTCCAACCGCCAAAGGCAAACAGACCATTGTAGAAGGCATAGCCAATGTTGCGAGCGGTGTAGGTACCCTCCCACGGATTGTTAAAGTTCTCCAGCTGACCCGTGGCCATGTAGTAGAGTCCGGCCAGAATAATCATGATGAGGGCCAGCAGCTTGCCCACCGTGAACACATCCTGCACCTTCATCGAGACCTTAACGGACAGACAGTTGATGGCCGTGAGCAGAGCTAGGGGAATAGGGGAGGAATAATTAATGTTGCACAGATGGGAGGGAGCTTTCCCTGGACGCACTTACTTAAACAAATAGCTGCGAGTAGCTTCACGGCACCCTCAGGTGGATCACAGTCCTGGAAAAACGGCTTGGCGGCATAATGGGCGAAGGTTAGAGCCACAATGGTCTGTAAAAATATTTAATTGATCACAAATTAAATTTTAACAAAATTAAATCGTAAATTCTAAGTCAGTGAAAGTTGTTTTCAAAAGTTTTATTCCGTAATTGAATTCAATTCCGTTCGAAGGTAGTCCGTCGTCGTCACTTAATAAAGTTTTATTTATTTGCCTCAACAACCAATCAATCAAAACAAATAAATATTCCGTAATTCAATTGATGGACAGCACACTGACCTGCGTGGTTGGCCGGATGATGAGCAGAGCTATCCACAGCCGCAGGAAGCCCACGAGTGGACCGAAGGACACCAGCAGATAGGCATAATCTCCGCCAGATCTCGTGATGCTCGTGCCCAGCTCGGCATAGCAAAGAGCTCCAATGGTGGACAGAATCCCACATGCGGACCAAATCAACAGAGAGCTTCCCACAGATCTAGAAAATATATACACAGAGTAAGTAAATAAACAATCTTGGAAGGGTGATAAAATAATAAATCTACTTTTAAATAAAACTTGAGCTCTCCAAGCGTCACAGTAAAGTGTAAATAAATAACCAAGAAACTAGCTTTCAAATTAAAAGTAAAAGTGTTTTGAAATAGTAAATAACAATTAGAGAACTCTTGTCAAGTTTACAATTTCAATTAACGAAGAAGTGCTAACTTTAAGCTATTGAATTAAGTAACACATATTATTGTTAATCAATAAATCCATGCATTATTAAATTAGTTAAAGTAAGTGTCTGCACTTGAATAATTTATGTATGTATATTTTTCAATTAACTTTCCTTAAAGAAACTCCCATAAATTGACTAACAAATGTGTTTAATAAATTATTTCCGTAAGTGGGAGCTTCCGACATTCGTATGGACTTTTCGCCCAACCTTTTTGTTTATCAATAATTTGGAATTTGACACGCCTTCTTGTAACGCTTATTAAACTTTAAAGCTGACGCAATATTTAAGCAAAATTGCGAGTGAGCACTTTGTCAAGGGAACAAAATCGACAACTAATAAATTTCTCTTAATTGGTGCGACAATAAAAACATTAATTAACAGTTAAATTGACCTTTTTTCGTGAATAAATTGAATTAAGGATGATACTATATACATATGTATCTCATAGACACTTACTCAGTGTAGCGGAAGACTCCAGTGGGGGCTATGAAGATGCCCGATCCGATAATTGTACCCACTATTATGGCCACACCATTGATGAGGGTCAGCTTCCGTTTCAGGACAATTTTCTCCTCCGCATCATCACCTGCTGGAGCAGCTGAACTGCGTCCGTTTGGCTCCACCAGACTGGTGGTCACTCCATTGGCATATCTGTCCGTCATGTTGCTTGGGGGCTGAAGTGTGGTTCTCCTCTAGCAGAGAATAGCTGGCATTGCCACTGGAAAGTGAAAGGGGAAGACTAAGTCTAAAACTAAAATAAATGCCACTTTATGGGAGGTAAGCCGCGCGTTATCACTGCAAACGAGAGATATTCCAGCACGTGCAATAAACCTGTTGACTTTCTTTATTGTCTTAATACTTGTCAATTGCAGCCTTGACTTGTTCGCTGTTGCGCTGGCACCGCAAACTAATCTCCCGCTGTCACAGACATAAACTTTAATTATGTTTTTTCGACACTATCTCCTTCATTCGCAAACAGAACGAAGCTTTAAAGTGCGGCATGAGCATCGGGGGAGGGGGGTGAGAGGTATGAATGTGCGTGTGCCTCCGGCGCCGCGTGCTAATTTTCACGGTTTCGTCATCGCGAGGCAAACTGCGACGCGTGGCACTGAAAAATTGCAGCTGTAGCTGCTGTAGTTTTTATCGCGTTTCTGTTTTCCTTTTTGCAACGTTTCGGAATGCAGTTTTCGTTGATTACTTCTTCGGCCTATCTTGTTTTGCTGTAAATCACGATTTATTACCTCAAGCGCGACACAACGGAACGGCTTCAACTGCGAGCAGCGACTGTGCGTTGGCATCGAGACCGGCATTTTCATACTAAAGCTTATTTCAACCCCAAAACGACTGAGTGTGACGCGTTTCGCGCGTGTGCGTCGTAACAAATTGTAAAAGAGAGAAACAACTCTCAAAACCGGAAATTGAAATTGAGAGTTGGATTGATTGTTTACAAATGCAAATGTGTCATTGCCATTGAAATCGATATGTTAATATTTGTACCTTTGAAAACAGGTGCAGGTTTTTCGCATATGACAGATAAAAATAGAGCAAAACATCCCGCTTTAGATTTGAATGCAGATGATTAAATAAATCGTGAATGGAATTATCGATAGTCGAAATAAACATTGAGTGACCGACTACTACGTTTTATTTTCCATTGAGAAAACGTGTGTAAGAAAGATAGAAAACTAAATTTGTGCGGAGCATTCTCGATTTAAAAGATTTGTATTAATTTTGTTTGTATTATTTATCTTGTACCTGTTTTGATTTTGAATAATCGATAGCTGTCAGTCACAGCGATACGAAGTCATTTGGTTGGGCCATCGATTCATCGCATCTACGGCCACACTGGCCAGTATTTCTTTTAAGTTTTTGTTTTGGTAATTGCACGTGTTTCATTTCAAAGAGATTTAAAAACCAGCAATGTCGGACAAGTAAGTGTTTTAAAACTGCGCAAAAGAGCTAAACGTTACTAAATAAACACGTTTCCGTACCCAGATACGCAGTACCCAACAAATTGCCCGGCAAAACAGTCTCTGTGCTGAGGCATCGCAAGAGGCGAATTCGGCAGGACCAGTCGGTCGTCGAGCAGAGGATAAGTGATCGCATCCAGCGCCGCAATGCTCTCCACAATCACCACAAGTTCCGGCGTGCCGAATCCTTCGTGATGGGTTACCTGAAGGCCGAGCGCACGGCCAAGCGAATCAAGCGAACGATATTGCGTACCAACGTCACAGAGCAGAGTGCCGAAGCTGCCCAGGATTCCAACCCGAAGCTGCTGTTTGTGATGCGACATGCAGGCAAGAAAATCTTCGACAAGACCACAGCTGAAATCTTTAAAACACTGCGCATGCCCCAGCGTCACAATGCCGTCTTCCTGGAGAACACCAAGGAAAATCAGCTGCTGCTGCGTGTGATCGAACCCTTTGTGGTCTATGGAAATCCCTCGTTGAGCACCATTCGTGAGTTGGTCTTTAAGAAGGGTTTCGCCCGCATCAATGGAAAGAAAACGGCCATTCAGTCCAACACAATGGTGGAGGAGCAGTTGGGGGAGAAGGGTGTTATCTGCTTGGAGGATATCATACACGAGATCTGCACTGTGGGACCGAATTTCGCGGCCGTCAACGAGTTTCTGTGCGCCTTTATGGTATGTTTTCTTTACATTTCGGTATATATTTAAATATAAATGCAAATTTATTCTTTTTGCAGTTATCGAGTCCTAGCAATGGGTGGCAGAAGAAGGTCTCCGTCTCGTATAAACGCGGTGGCGAATATGGCGACCGTGGCAATGCCATCAACGAACTGGTTGCCCGCTGCCTGTAGAGACCTTAAGCTAGTAGACTCTTTAGTGATTGTTCAATCTAAATAAGCCGTATTTACACATTAAAACAGAAACATGCCTTAATAATATTTCTTTTTTCGTTCCTTTAGAACGTTAGTTCACTGTAAGTCGCCCATAAAAGCAATCCTCAGAACATTAAGCAACCACATGAAACGGTCTCTAACGACGTTCCTCATTATCCTATACGTTTATCAGCATGTTAAGCCCCAACCACAAAACAAATTCCTGCCTTCTGGTTGGCCTTGCGTGTCTCTGCCAAGTTCCCAAATTGAACAAACCAAAGAATCAACTTTTCTGCTACGAATAATAAATAAATAACTCATAACCGGGCAGGGGTGAAGGGTGAAAGAGAATGGTATGCCAAAAAAATGAGCTACTTGTTGCCACGAAGGAGGGAAAGTTGTTTTCCCATTAGTCCGAGTCAGTACCACTAACCTAGTACAACTTCGGTCGTGGTATCCTTCGAATCGTAGACATATAAAAACTTAGATCTCTTTTCTATGGACGTTATGAAAGAATAACTTTTGTTAACAAAATATTAAATTCTGAGTGTACCGAAACTCTAAGATGGATAAATGGGAGAAGGATCGGTCCAATGACCTGAGCCAGGTTCTGTCCAAATCCCTTAAGGAGCCCATTCTGGGGAAGCACTTTTCTCTGCCTGGACGGGCCTGTCAAAAGCAGACCATCGAACTAGACACCAGTCAGAGCTACATTGCCGTGTACACTCACCTTAAGGTCCACGCCGCAGAAATGCCGGATAGATTGCCTACGCCGGAGCCCCTTGGTCGATCCACCGCAGAGGGAAAGCCCAAGTCTCGAGCTCCGAAAAATACTTACCACGTTCATAGATTTTGATTTTTGTAAGCCAATTACGGTGTAATTAAAATTTGTTAATTAAATGGTTAGCTACGATATGTAAATTGCCACAAAGAAAACGATGAAATACATTTTGTATTGCTTTAATCATTGAATATAATCAGTGTTAAGCAAAATATAACATGACATCAATAAAGTATCCCCATTGATGTGTGCTTCAATTACGCATCCTCAAATACTTCGGATAGTTCGATCCGGTAATGTGTGGTTCAAATTGCATCCTCAACTTATTTCATCTTCCTTGCATCCATTCGTAAACAGGTGTGCTTCAAGTATGCATCCTCAAATACTTCGTATAATTCACATCCATCCGTTAATGTGTTGTTCAAGTTGCATCCTCAACTTATTTCGTAAACAGGTGTGCATCAAGTGTGCATCCTCAAATACTTCGGATAGTTCACATCCATCCGTTAATGTGTTGTTCAAGTTACATCCTCAACTTATTTCGTAAACAGGTGTGCATCAAGTGTGCATCCTCAAATACTTCGGATAGTTCACATCCATCCGTTAATGTGTTGTTCAAGTTGCATCCTCAACTTATTTCGTAAACAGGTGTGCATCAAGTGTGCATCCTAAATTCATTTTTTTGTTTGCATCCATTTTTAACAATCCTAATGTTTTTGTATGACAATTGGCAATTATATAAACTAAAAACGGAACTACTAGTGTCTTGTGTTATCCTCGCTCTCCCTCTCAGTTCTGCAGGATACGCACGGCGTTGTACATTTGGGCGATGATGGGCAGCTGCTTGGACTCACGCCTGCAAAGACACTTGTACGCATGGGACAGCAGGCGGTCGAGGGCAGCCACATCGATCTCGTCCGCCTTGGTAGCCGCTATCTGCACATTTTGCTCCGTCAGCGGCTCCTTCTGCGAGGACGAGTCGTGAGGGTCAATACTGCGGGTAATAAACGCTGGCCGCACTTACCAGGTTGTCCAGGTAGGCCAGTAACTGATGACCTACAGAAGCAATTTTCAGGAACGTGGACTGTGAGCTCTCCGCGTACAGATTGAGCCTTCTGCCGGCTATCTCCAACAGCAGCCGGCCCAGCTCCTCATCCTCAGCGATATGTTGGAGCAACATCTGGGCTTCGGCATCGTAGCCAAAAGCGTACAGCTCCACTACCTGGAGGAGAGGGGAAAAATATTATTTTTTTTTCTCCAGTGTTTTGTGTGTTTCCGTTTGAACAACTGAACCAAAAGTGAAGTTCACATTGTGAACTGTTCCTTAAGTAAATTTCATGGCTTGCTACAAAGTCAGTTTTAAATTATAAAAAGGTTACTTACCTGTCGCCTCAAGATAGGCAGTTTGTCCACTTCCCAGCTGTCGGCCAGTGCACAGATCTTCGACATGTAGAAGACATGGTCCAGGATATACAACTGCTGCAGATCCTCCCTGATCAGGTCCATGGTGGCGGAGACAACGCGACACAGAAAGTCCGTCCGCACCTGCTGCAGGACAAGATCTGGTGCGGGCAAGACATAAGGCAGCTCCTTATTGATATCAGCGAGCAAAGCCTTGTTGCCCATTGAGTCGAAGAGCGTGGTCAGGGGCTTGGGAATGCGCAGCTGGAAGAAGGCCACGAAATGGAGGACGCTACACAGCTCGGTTTGCAGTTGGAGCAGCTGGGGCATGGCGTGGTGTTGCTGGAGGGCCAAGAACTGTAGTGGGAGAGCTCCTTCGCTGAGGGACTGCTCGAACTGCAGTTCCCGTTTGTCGTGTTCCATCGAGGTGGAGAAGTGCTCCAGAAACTCCAGACTGAGCTCGAGAAACTCGGGCACCTTCCCCGCCGACATCTCCAAATCCTGCTGGCACATCTTGTCCACAGGTAGACGACCCACCTTCTGCATCAGCTTGGCCGCGGCCTGGAGAGGAAACTTTAGCGTGGCATTCCACAGCATGCAGCAGATACCGTGCTTCAAAGCCCAGTCTGGAGTTCGGAACTGGGTCAGACAGAGAAGGGCTGCCCTGAAATGATCCAGCGATGAAAGCTGCTTGCTCCACTGCACCATGTATTGCCACGACATAAGGCTCAGAAGAACGCCCGACTCAAGGCTGAAGGGAAAGTGGGCTCGCAGCAGAGCCAAACGCTCGAGTATAGGCTCGGAGGCCTCTCTGTTTGGATCCTGCACTTCCGTGGCCATTTCCAAGTCTTCTTCAGAGTCGGTATCCGCCTTAGAGAGATCTTCCTTGGACGCTGGTTTGGTTTTTGTCTTTGTCTCCTCATCAGTATCATTTTCCGGCGCCGAAATCTCCAGAACTTTACTCGGATGCAGTTGCGCACTGATTAGCCACTTGGCAGTGAGTTCTGTGACGATTCCTTTTCCGTTGCTCACAATGCTCTTGAGGCTACAGTCGGGCGGCTCGTAGGACATTTCTGGACCCACAGGATCCCTGCAGGTGAGTGGCTTGCTGTAACGAAAGAATCTATTAGTAAATATCATGAGCTGATTATTTCCATTCTTACCCAAGAATAGCTCCCAAAACGGCCACATCCTCCAGCTTGCCGGTGAGAAGTCCCCACTGGGCCTCGTCGTGCGAAATTCGTTCCCAGCGCTCTTCCTCATCGTTTTGCGAAGATTCGTCACAAGATCCCTGCTCAGAAATGTTTTTACTAATTGGGTTGATTAATTTTTATTTACGCTCACCTCCTTACGACTGCGCCACAAATTACTGGCCACCGTTTTGCAGACAATGGCCACGAGCAAACCGGAGAACTGTTTGCTTTCCAGGAGCAGCTCGCGCACCGCCTGCCACCACGGAGAGATGGCATTGTAGGCATAATCGTGAATATGCTCACCAGCCAAATCACAAATGGTCTGCACCATGGCAGCTATCCTTGACATGTCCTCAATGACTTCATCACTGAAACAGAAAAGGTACGTTTAGAATGAGACAATTATTTAAATTACAAGTTTCTCATACCAGTTATTGTATTTGAAAGGCTTCTCCAGCCAGAACCAAATGACCAGTGTAAGAAGATCCATGCTGGTCAGGCAGGACTGATGGATCCACTCTTTGAACTGGCCAAAGCACAAGCCCTGGGCGAAGAACTGGCTAAAGAGATCGATGCTAACGCTACCAAACTTGTCGGCCTTGTCCGCCAACAAGCTGATGCCATCCGGACTGTCTATGTTAAAGATGCTCAGGTAATCCACAAACTCCTCGGTTTTATGTTCTTCATGCAGCTTAAAGCTAACCTCGCGAGCGGTAGCGGGCTTAGCCTCATCCTTACCATCGTCCAGGAGCAAAACAAGTTTGTTAATTGTCACCAGATCGGCGTCGGAGAGCTCCAGATGATCTATCGGTGGCTCGTTGTCACCCCGCTGATTTGCCTCACTCAGAGTCAAGTATAAATCGGTCAGTCTCTTGTAGTTCTTGATTTGGTGCAGAAACTCTTGGGTTATGGTCGCGTCGGTAAGGGGTTCCTCGATAAAAGAGTTTATGATGCACTGAAACACACGTGGCTGAAGCTTCTTGCTCTTGAGCAGCATCTCCAGGCACTGCTGGCGCACCTCTAGGGTCTGCAATTCACTGGCCAGCTCGGCAATTTCTTCCAACTTGGCATCGCCATGGTTTGCAGTCCTCAGCTGGTTCCTAAGACGCCTCAGCATGTGGATATCCCGGGAAGTTTGTGAACTGGTTTCGCTTAGAGCATAATGAAACGGAATAAGCACCTCCTTTAGGCTTCCATCGGTGGGATCCAGAAATAGACAGTGGTTGATGGGTAGCGTTTTGCGGGATTGACTGCTGCCGGCTGAGGATCCACCAGCGCTGACGGAGCCCAAAGCACCGTGATTATTGTAAACCAACTGTCCGCTCTTGGAGACATTAAAGGCAGCTACCTTGGGTCCATTCTGCAGCGCCCAGATATCCAGGCAGCCCAAACGGGGAGCGTAGATGACCAGAAACAAGGCCTTTCGCTTATGTGTTTTGATTCCGCGCACAGATCGTTCTTTGACGGGAACGAAGGCACACTGGGCATCTCGATAGCCCTTCCACACGCGTAGAATGATAGCCTGCTGCGTGTCCAACAACATCACTCGATCCAGATTGTCCGTGACGACTGCCAGTCTTCCTCCCGGTGCAACTGCCAATGTCAAGCCATCTCGTTTGCCGTCGTACAAGCGACAACGGATCCTCATCGGCGCCTCCTTTGTGGGCACAGGCAGTGGTGCCTCTTCGGGCGATGGCAATGGTTCGGGAGCTCGTCGAAAAATGCCGCCCAGCAGGTTCTTGTACGCTATGCCAATCACATCCTTGGCAACCTCGCCCAGTGATATGGTTTTGTAGCCCTCTTCGGCGTCAAAGAAGCCCAAGTAGGGCTCCGCTCCGGCAGCCAGCACCTGGGCGCTTCTTGGAGGTGTGGCGTGTACCTTGGCAAAGTAGCCATTTCCAATGCTTTGCTGTACGATGTGATCATATGTTGGTGGTCGCTGGGTGCTTGAAATGGCGGCGTCGTTGATCACGGCCTGTTTTTCCTGCTTGAACTTGTACTTCTGGAAGGGCACCACATCGGCTGTGGGATATGAGCCACGATCCAGGGCTCCGCGCTGTACGTTGTGCCGACAGTTGTTGAGAGTGGGCAAGATGTCCTGGCCTTGGATGAAGCATAGACAGCGCGGGTAAACAATGTACAGTAGGAAATCGCCCTCAGAGTGCCGGGGCGGCGACTGAAGCTTGACTCCTATCACCGGATCCTCCTGGCAGCTGCAAAATGGAAAATGGGTAAGGATCTTTTAAAGTGTGAGATTTTATTATGTCTTACCACTGAGAAAACAGCTTTACGCCCGAGTCTGTGTAGAAAACGACCATACCCGAGACCAGGCCCACTGCCACGCAGGTCCATTCGACTGCTCCGTCGGTGCCCCGTCGGCTCTGAGTCATCGGCAGACAGGTGAGGCTGGTCACGATCTGATTCGAGTCCTCCAGTTCGCCACACCATCCCAGGGCGTAGGTGTTGTTAGCATTTCCATGGCTGTTCCAGCAGGTGGAAAGAAATGCCAACTTTTCTCCCTGAGCCAAGGCAATCAATTCACCAGTCGGCGATATGGCGTAGTTAATTGCATTTAACCAGTTGTCGTCTGTTTGGAGCGAATAAATGGGGATTACCGTCTGAGGGGCGTTTGCTAAGGTTCACTTTCTCACCATGTCCGAGGCCAAAATATTCCTGAACTTTTTTAAAATCGCGAATTTCTCCGCAATGTTTTACTTCACAAGTCATTGTTTTGTTTTTGTGTGTCTTTCTTTGTCCCGTCCCGCAGACTGGCCACACTAAACAGCTGTTTTATGTTTTATAGCACTGGCCTCACTTATATTATTTTGGCGTTGCTATAACTAGTTTTTTATAGCAACTTATCGTATAAGACGTATATTTTACTCTGTAGTTTTTATACCCTTGCAGAGTATTATAATTTCAATAATTAGCTTGTAACGCAGTGAAGGAGTCATTTCCGACCCTATAAATCATATATATTCTTGATCAGCATTAACATCCGAGACGTTCTGACTACGTCCGAAAGAAAATTAATTTTTAAAAAATTAAAAAAAAGATAAGGGGTTACATCTTTAATATTGTCAAAATTTCAATTTTTTAAATTTAAAATTGGATATGCAGATTAGTTATCCTAATTAAAACTAACATAAGAAAGCTTTCCGAATTGAATTAATTCTGTTTTGGCTTATTATTGTTGTTTTACTCCTCGATTTGTACCAAAAAAAACCTTATATTTAAACTTGTTGTTTTCCCCGGAATTTATTTGTTCGGTATACACATAATGAATATATTTCGAATATCATTCTCCAATAATTTCATTGAACTTGTTCTACGTTCTATGCTAAGGTTAAACTAAATTAAGTCCGACTCCACGCCACTGTCGATGTAATCCTTGAGCATCAGGCCACAATGATCTGGCAAGAGTCTCGTCCAGTTATTGATGTAGAGCAGACAACTGGGAATGGTGACCTCCATGACATCGGAGCGGTGCGCCTCCACTATGCGCCGTGCCACCTGCTTGGGATCCAGCAGGCCCAGGATTGAGGGAAACTTCACTTTGGGATGCTTGCACAGGCCAGTGTTGGTCATATAGGGGAAGATGGTGGTAGTCTTGATCTGTTCATTATCATCTCATTAATTTGGAACTCTTAAAGAGGGTATTCGCCTAACTTACTAGATTCTTGTGGGGTCCTTCTCGTATCTCCGCATGTAGGGACTCCATCAGCCCGCGTACCGCAAACTTTGTGGCACAGTAGGGAACCAAGTTGGCAATTCCCACTAGACCAGCTATCGAGGAGAGCGAGATGATGTGGCCACGGTTCTTCTCCTGCATGTGACCCAGAAAGGCCTGAATTGTCCAGAACTGCGAGAAGACATTGACATCGAACACTCGCTGGATCTCCTCGGCCGACTGTTGCAGGATCGGATGGGTGGGCATTATTCCCACATTATTCACCAGCACCGAAATGGGTCCAACTTCCGCTTTAACCCGATCCGCCAGCGCCATGACCTCATCCCGCTTGGACACGTCGCAGCTGCCGGAGTCCAACGATGATTGTTAGTTCAAATTTCTCAAAACCAAAGTTCATACCTGAAGCCATGTACATTTCCGAGATTCAACCGCTTGGCCTTCTGGACTGTCTGCTGATTGTTCTTCTCATCGATGTCCACACAAACGACTGTGCTGCCCAGAGAGGCGTAGTGAAGGGCCAGTTCCCGACCGATTCCATGGCCAGTTCCAGTAATCTTTAAGCATAAACCAAGTGAATATTTATTTACAAAATATTACTCTTGAAAAGTAGTTTCTCACCAGGATTGTTTCCCCACTGACATCCTTCTGATGTTTGGGCAAGAACGTCTGCACCAGCGAAACAAATAACTCTAGAATGATGCGCACAAAGACCACCACGAACTGTACAATGTCCTGAAGGACATCAAAAATGCGCTTCGATGCGGGCGTAGTACTGAAATGAAGAACAAAAGTCCATTTGGGCATTTATCGAAACGACAATTACCAAACAATTAGTGGACACTCCAGCCAGTTGGCCAATATTTGCTGAAAACTGAGTCTCGGCCAGCACCGAAATGATTTAATTTATCTATTTGTATGCGCCCGCTGCATGTGCAATGTTCAAACGCCAGTTCAGACAGCATTGGCGGTCGCCGGACTTTGCCATCGTCCCATAATATAGTACAACATAAGATAATGGAGAATGGGAGTGGACAGACACTGCCTCGAGTATATTGACACTGGGTCTTGGCCCCCTTTTCGGGTACTCGAGGGAGCTCAGCCAATGACTACAGTAAAAGCTCCCTGGGATGGAAGTGAAGGAAGGGTCTACGATAGGTTTTTGTTTTAATTAACAAACCACATATACTATATTTGGTATATATCAAAAGCTAGGAAATATCTCATTTGAGTATTATATGGTGAATATGGTTTTTAATACATTTCGAAAGGGTAAATTTAATTAAAGGCAAAACTCAAATAACATATTTAGAGTAGTCAAAGGAGCTCTTACTTTGTTTTGGGGGCTCTCGGGCTCATATTTATTTATAGGGAATACTTTGTGGCAATACATTAGCACTTTACTTACTGAATAATTTCGCGTTCTATCATGGCGTCCGCAGATATTGTCCCTTAGTTTTGGATTCCAGCAACCTTCGAGCAGAACCAATGGCGATTCGGGGGACTCAGTGTCTGTAATGAAAAGTAATGACTTTGAGTCACGGCTAGTTTGACTCTGACTCTTCCGTATTTTCCGATTTCCTTTTCACAACTTTTGGCTTTTGAGCTTGACGAGGAGTCGAATTGTTTTTGCCTGTGTTTTGTATCATTTTCACCCGACTTTACAACCGGCTGGCCAAGAGCGAGCGGCGTGGGCGAGCGAGGAGATGGAACAGCAACCGGCGACGCAACATTTCCACTTTCGTTTTCCTTTCGGTCGCAACTAAAATGGAAAATTACGTGCACACAAATTACGGGGCACACACAGCAGAGAGACAAAAGCACAACGAGCGATGCAGTGGCGCCAGCAGGGGAACTTTGAGGGGATTATCTTCTGACGGAGAACAATTAAAACTCGTTTCATACATAACTGGATTGTTACTGTTTCACAATTTTAATTGATTAATTGAATGCAAATATTTTTCTAGAAAGTTCTCTAAACCTCGGTAAAGTCCATCAATCGTCTTAAATTAGCAAAAATAATGGTTTCGATAAACTTGAAATGCGACTGGATTAACATCATCGATATATTGTACATATATATATTGTGATTATACGATCCAAAGATTATCAGTTGCCAAGGAATTCGTTTACTCAGAATAAATAAATTAACTAAGAGATCAATTTCAATTTATTGACCTATAAATTATAGAAACCCCTTTATAAAAATTACGTATACGCCACGTTGTGCTGCATGCAATTCGATTATGCGGTGCCAAAAGAGCCTTTGCACTCTTTACTGTTCTCTTTTTTCTCTCTTTGGCCAGTTGCAGGTCTTGGCTCTTTTGTTTGCTACCAAGAGGCAAGAAGGCAGCTAACTTACATGGCCAACTGCAATGGGGAAGCCAAAATGTTTGTTGCAACAACCAAAAGCCATAACCATAAATAGCAACGAGGGCGGCTTTAATACTTGTTCTGTTTTTCTTGACGAGTCCAGTTTGTTAGTTATTGAACGAGATGTTAATTGTTATGACTTTATAATTCATAATTCACTTTGTTCTTAAGCAATTCTTAAACTAAAATGCAAGAACTCTGTAATTAATAAGTTGATTAACATTGAGTACATTAATAAACACAAGGTTAATTATTTGTTTGTCAAAAATATGACTTAATTACATGAATTTAATTAATCAAACAAAATTTGTAAAGTCATTATTCTTAATAAATCTTAAATGGCTTTGGTATTGTTTTTAGTTGTCAGGTGCTTCCATTACTTTAATGGCAAGTTGATCGATTTGATTGCCATGTAATTTCTGTGATTAGGCAACAAGTTTGGCACTTTTTTTGAGTCTTTACATTTTAGTTACTCTATTCGTAACTATTACATTTCACTTTCACAATTTTACACTTTTGTCCTATGGCAAAAACTCGAAACACGATACGGAGTTTCGATTAAAACAAGGATTTTATGCAATAATTACACAATATTCCCAGTGGATCGCTCGCGTGTGGAGACCGATCCGAAGCCAAGTGGAGACTGGAACGACCGACAAGTCTGGTTGCTCGCCGCCAAATGATTCCAGCTTTGGGGGCTCCAAAGTGTTTGGAGCCTGCACTCAAGTTTTGCGCGACAGACCCGAGCTTCAAGAGAGTGTTTAAGAGAGTGCCAAAGAGTGCGAAAAGCGGTCCTGAAAAATGATCGTGGCGCTTTGATTAAACTTCGTTGAAGAAACCACAACAAGCCACAGCCGCAGGTGACCTTCAACAGGGTCCAGACGACAGAAAACAAAAGACCGGGAAGCAGAAACTTGCCTTTAAACAAAGTTGGTTAAGCATGATTTACCGTTTTTACGCCGCTCCACGTTGTTTGCGGCTACGTGATGAGTAAGCTAAAGTTCGTCGCCAAGTTCAAGTTCAGCGATTATAGCCGGGAATCGGAGCGCTTAAAAGAGAGAGGAAGAGGGAATAATCCGGATAAGGCTCTTATCCAGTTTTGTCCTTGGCTGATAACCAGTATATTTTTCTGCCATTAAATATTACTTTTTCTCGAATTTGCATCATATCTTCTTTCTGCAAGAGCAGCCTCCAAGAGAGGATTATTTATAAATAAAAATTTTATAGTGTGAACTTTGATATATTTTGAATTTTATGCATTATTTTATTATTTTTTACTCATACATAATATTATTCTACGGCAGTACAAGGTATTCTATTGTCGGCTATAAATAGTGTACATATATTTTTTTTTAATTTTACTTTATTTCGTCGCTTTTATACCCTTGCAAGGGTATTATAATTTTGGTCAAAAGCTTGTAACACTGTGAATCATTTCCGGCCCTAACGCTTCTTTTCAAACTTTGACTTGTCTTTATAATAGTTATATAAAAATAACGATAAATATTGATTCAAACTTTGCGAATAATTTAAGCTTAGTTATGATAGATCTCCGATTCCATGCTATAATTCAATTGCAACTGCAAGGGTATATAAGCTTCGGATTCCCAAAATTTCATTTTTGTTTTTTGTATATTATTTCATCTGCTTTCGAGAAGGTCAACGAAGGGCTGTCGCGCGTTTGCCGTTCAATTCTGAGTGATCGACGACCCTTTCACAGACATAATTGGAGTCAATTTCAAGTGCGGCAATAACAACAATAACAATATAGTAATAACAGCGTCAATAACAACAACAACATTCCCGCAACATTTATAAAGAGAAAGAAACAATAGCAACAATTGCACTTTGCAGACCAAAAGAGAGAACTACACTTTTAAAAATAATGAAAAAAAAAATATATATATAAAATACATCTCTACTTAGAGATCTATAATGATATTTTCTGAAACAGTAAAATGTAGTCTTCAAGTTAAACCGAAACGAATCGGAGCTTTAACGCCGGCATGCCACTTAAACAATCATCAGTTCGGACACAAATCAAAGTAAACAAATTTTAGCCCATGGGTTCTATGTACTTCCCCCTTTTCCCCAACGCGTTCTGCGGTTAATGGTTAATGGGTTGGGTTATTAGGCGACTGCCAGCTTGTTGCTTAATGTTTGGTCTCTCCCTGCCACCCTTCAATGTATTCGAATAATTCGCTTTCATTTGACTTATCGATGTGGCGTGCATTAACAATCAATATGACATGTCAGGCACGTGAAACAGTTTGGAATAACTTGGCAATCCGGGAGGTCTTAAGGGTGGCAAATATATGGAATGTACCAGGTATATGAACATATATCTGATCCGATCATGTCAAAAATAGTCACTAATGCGCTATGTGCCCAATAGGTTTATTCAGTTGTACAGCAGAATATTATGCCTATGAAAAAAGGTATCTTAATTAAACAATAATTATAAGAGTTGTTGGTTAACTATAAGCATGATTAGACAATTTTATTTTTAGCCAACATTTACAACTTTCAGGTAATTTTCTTTAAATACATAATTTTCGTTTAATGGATTTTCTATTATTTAATTATTTTATTGAGCCTTCATGACTTGACACCATAAATCAAACTATTAATTCTGATTGCTTAGATACAAAAACAATAGAGGAACTTCTTCTAGCTGCCTTGACATTGGTTAGCACTCAATTTAAATGTGCATATACAAATGTGTGTTCCATTAACGTAACTAGTACTTTGTTGGAATATTTATAAACATTGCACTTGGTATGTTTTGCTAATTGTCAACCATCAAATCGTCTGTACGTCCTTCCATTAACATGCAAAACAAAAAAGTGAAAGTTAGAATAACTAGGAATTCGACATTGGAATACCCTAACCATAAACATAACACCATTGTTGCTATAGAAACACAAGATAATACACTTGGTTCTTTTTAATTATATTCAATTTAAGAATATTTGAATATATTTTTTTTGACTTTTAGATAAGAAATTTAAACTGAAGGAGTTATATTCATATTCATTAACAGCCGAGCTTACTACGTCTGCTTTCTAAAAGTCTGACTACTTGGAATGTTACAGGATATGTTACAAAATGTCTATCATTCTGACAGTGGCTCCTTTGTTTGGAAAGGGTATTTAATTGGCCACGCATGTGGCTGTGCTGCAGTCTTCGGCCTGAAAGGCGGCTTCAGTTGCCGTTGGCGAGCGGAGCGGCAAACAACGCCCGGCGGAAAGCGGAAGTCTGAAAGGGCTGAAAGCTGAGGACGGAAAGCGGAAACTGCCCAAGCGGAAGAGGCCAGAAGAAGTTGAAGAAGACCGCGAATGGGGAGCGTGAAAATGTGAGTGTGTCCCCTGTCTCCTAGCCTGCATATTGTTTGTGTGTGCCTGTGTGTGTGTGAGTGCGGTGAGCTCGTGATTTGTTTACCTGTCAAAATAATAAATATAACTTTGTTTTCGTGGGGCATAAAATACATGAGGTTGTTGCTGTTGGCATTGGTAGCGGAACCGAGAAACAAGCCGGCGAAGGACTCTGTTCTATTACTTTCCCTTCGCAACCCGTCCTTTGCCAAGTGCAGTGTCAAAAGTCAAACGAAGGATAATGTGCCTGTCCGAAAAGAAAAATGGAAACAAAATCTATAGCAACTTATATCCAAACTTAAACTTAGTCGCTTGTTAGTCTAGGTGAGAGATCGGCAACGGAAATGGATATTGAAAAAAGAAAAAGCCTTCCCGTCGACACCTTTGGGGGGCTTGTTTACTGTTGCTTTAAGCTTCTTCAAGATATTGCTATATGTTAGTAATTACCAAATTTTCGGGGCCTTTCTATTATTTTTTTTAAGGAAACCATTAGGAATATGTTATATTTATTTGATTTGATTTGATTTCCTTAATTTAATGTAAATATAATTTAAAACCCTGAAAGTATGCTACACATCGTTCAAATCACTACTTTTCACAGGTCTGGTTTTCATAAACTTGGTCAGAATGCTTTTGTACCTTCGATATCATCGTCTCCATGGACCCATCTTCACTAGGACCTTATTGCTGCATCGCAGCCTAATGAGCCAGCCGGTGTTCAGGAGCTCACCAAAGGTCCAGCCGAACCAGGATAATGAGAAATGCCAAAGGACAAGCCTATTTGGGTCCCAGCCTCTGGAGCCGGCGAGTCCTTTTGGCGAGGACTATCGCATCTATCAGCAGAACGTTGACTTGGATGCCTTCTTCGGCGAGGAGCCCAAGTACGAGAAGGTATCGGATGTCTGCCTGCTGAACGATCACTTTATTCTAGTCAAGATGCCGCCGCCGGATGAACTGCCGCCGCCATCAAAGTCAAGGATTCCGCGGTGTTTCAGGTGTAATCGTGGCAGCAAGGTCTCACCCATACGGGAGGAATCGGAGGATGAGAAGTCTTCGTCGAAGCAATCGGGCTGCCTACAGCCCTGGTCATCCAGCTACCAGGACGAAGCCAAACCCTTTAATTCTACCACTCGGTTGACAGATACTCCCAGTAAAAAGGATGCTACACCCGCTGCTGTGATAGTAGAGCAACCACATCCGACCCTGCAGCTGGAGGCGATCCAATCTCTGGCTCCTGGAAAACTGCAACTGCGTCCTACCAGCCTAGGACCCTTACACTGGTTCCTTTGGCCCTTCCGACGGCGACAGGACTCTAGGGGCAACTCCAAATCCAAGCTGGCTGCCGTTCACAAGACATATTTGTGCGCTGGAGCAAGCCACCGGACACACTCTGGAACGGATTCGGAGTTCAAAGGGCAACTGAGGAGAAGAAGTCGGGTCTGAGACGATGTCGTTCTGCGGTTTTCTGAATTATCGGCTGATTATATTTTGCATATATTTTCTATGCTTATTATAAGTAGTTTGGGGTCCATTACTTAAGTAGATCAAAGGGGTTTCAATAAAAGTGTTAAAATAATGAATTCATTTCAGAATTCGATTTCCTTTTAAACCTACCAACATCTAAATACCAACATCTTTGCGGTTACGTTTAAGGACAACTTTAAGAACTAAACTTTTTTAAAACAATTTATTTCCTTAAATATTCATTCAGTCCCTGAAATGTACGAGTATCTTAAGCTGAACTCTAAGTCCTCCTCCTTTCTCATGGGCACATGTCAAACTCCAATTTCCGCATGCAAAATTAGTGCCTGCCGCGCCGGCAACTTCAGTTTGCCACAAAGTATGTGGACGGAGTCCCAACTATAGCTATAACTCCGCGAACCGGCAAAATAATACAAAGAAGCAAAAGGAAAACAAAATGCAAGCCACGTAAATTGCGGGGCCAGTGCAGATAAAGGCCGCTAAGGAAAAAAAACAGAGTTTAACTCCCTTTTCAATGGAATTTGCACGCGTCCGTGAAGCCCGAAAGGAGCTACTGAAGGGACCTGCCTGCTCCTCCGAGCCGAGGAGGTTGCTTCATTAGCTTCATTTGGGTTTGGTTTTGGAAATGTCGGGCAATGTCGTTCGTTACTCCCGCCACGGCCGGTAGGTGGCGCTGCGCGCAGGAGCCCCGCAACTAATTACGAAGGCAGCCCGCCATAAAAACAAGTTCATGATAAAATGCCCCACCACAGCTATAGACTTGACTCTGCACACACACTGCAGGCACCCTGCGCCACTCGTACTCGTACATAATAATAAAATAAAATTAAAACCGTCACGCCAGGCGTCAGTGGAAACCCAAGTCCATGCCGGCGGGGCCCAGCAACAATCGTGGCAACCGAACAAAGCCATCGAGCCTCGAACCGAAACGCGTCCAAAAAGGAGCTGCCACTGAAGCTGGGGCTGCACTCCGTGTCCACCTCCGTGTCCAGGCCGGATCGGGCCAGCGGGTCACCGTAATGAACCATTAATATGCCAGTTTCCCCCCTGAAAACCCCGGCGATAAGAGCCGCGCGCTTTTTCCTACATTGAAAATCGAAATTGAACTCAAAGAACCTAACACTTGAAAAAAGGAAATGTAGTCTTTAATATTATTGGAAAAATAACCATGATAATTTGGTTAGATTACATATATTTGGTAAAGGTAAAGAAATTCTTTAGAACATTATGTCTAAGCAAGCTCTTAAAATATAATTTTAGGGTTTATTTTATGACTATCATTTGATCTTGACATAATGAAACATAATAAGGCTTTTCATTATCTAGTTGCTTTTAATTTAAAAATGTATTTTTGATTTTGTATTATTAATATTAAGTATAATAACTTTATAATAGCCGGGCAGTGTACAAAATAGTGTTTTCCCCGCCGCCGTTGCCCCTTTTGAATGGTGGATTTGTGCTTATCATTAATTATAATGTCGGCATGGAGGTGCGCGCATTACCATTTGACCAAAATGGTCAATTGGATGGCTTAGACGGCTTTGTGTAGTACATAAAATTGGCTAGGAGTTATTGTGAGTGTGCAGCGTTTGGGGTAAGGTGAAGGACGCCTGTCGGTGAATGCAACAAGCTGGGTGGGGAGCTTGTAGATAGTATCTCGTAGATAAAGTATCTAATATGGTAGATATACTATCATTTGAGTACTATACATCAAGCACGAAAATTATAGGTGAAGTTGAAGCCAATTTAAAGCGGATTACTTTATATTATAAACTATGTCGCTTGGAAATCAACAAAGCCTTACTTGTTTATAATATGTTTTCTTCGGCTTTGTGATTTTCCTTCTAGTTAAAGATATGATAAGATTAATAAGCAAACAAATGAAAGTGCTTAAAGAATGGCTTACCATTACACCCCAAATCTTACCCCTTGTTAAGCCCCCGGCTGAGAGCGTATTTTGCTTGGCCAAAACTCGCAATACAACTTAAATTAGCCTATGAATTCGGCTTGCAGCTCAGCTTAATTGGTGGAAAGTAGCGTAACCGTTCCGGATATGTTTCCAGATTCCGCGAGGAATCTCCGTGGCGATGGAACCGCTCGGCAGCCGACGGAGACAGAGGGCACTTGCTGGGCGCAGATGCCAAAAGGAAGCTGACAAGTTGCAGACTTGGCCAGGCCATAAAAGGAGCAGAGGAGATCCCGCCGGGCATTCCAAATCGATTACGACTTGGACTATCTCTCCCTCTTTCCCTCCAGCAAGGTGTTTATTAATAAAACTCCAAGTGAATATTCCATCCCCGAGAAAGAGAGATGGCTGGATGTCAGCTGAAAGAGACGGAGGACGACGACGACAACAGAAACAGTTGGTGGTACGCAAAGTGTTGACAATGCCTCGCCTAGACTAGGTCCACTAGGTCCAAGTCGTTGGCACCGACTGCGCAACGACCTTCGGCCGGATACGGGTCCTGGTCCTGGTCCTAGGGCAATCATCGTTAATGATGGCAATGTCCTTGTGCGCCTCGATTTGACAAATCAATTTGTGCGCTAACAGCATGCGCTCTCGACTCCAGCATCGTTGCAAGTCAGTGGGATAACTCGAGGACGAAGCCGAGGACACACATCCTGCGCACAAGGAACATTTCGTTTTCCTCCCTCTCCTTCCACACACAGGCCCGATGACAGGGATCACAGTACGAGTAGTTGAGTCGACAGACCAAACCGAAATGTTTGCCAATACGGTTGCAATCTGTTTGGATGGATCGTGGTGGGCAAGTCTATCGCCAGATAAATGAGCATCGAGGGGATGCAAAAACAAGGTCATAGAATCTTAATCGATGTATTCTTTATTAACTATAAAAACTTTTTTTAAATATGCATAAACCATAATAATCATGATATTTCATTACCAATTAAATGAAGTAAAGATACATAATTAAAGGGATACATAATTATAGGGAATAATTAAAACTAAATTCAGATTACTTACTCGTAAAGTAGGATATTTGTGTACCTTTGCAGGGTATTCTAATTTCAGTCTGAAGCTTGTAACGCAGTGAAAGAATTATATATATTCTTGATCAGAATTAACAGCCGAGTCGTTCTAGCTATGGCCGGAAGAAAAATACAATTTTCCAAATTTTTCAATTTTTGAAAAAAAAGATAAGGGCTTACATCATTAAAAATGTCAAAAATTGGCAAAAAATTGAATTTCTTAAAAATTTAAATTGAGTATACAGATTTATTAACCTTTTAAAAACTAGGATTGAAATGGTTTCCGATTTGATATTAATCCTTTTTTGGCTTAGTTATGAGTTTTTTAAACTTTGATTTGCCAAGAAATTGTCATATAAAAATATGGATAAATATCGATTCAAAGAATTCTTTGTTATAAACTATTTCTGATTCGATTCTATAATACAACTGCAAGCTGCATGGATATATAAACTTTGGCTTCCCGAAGATAGTTTCCTTTTTTGTCAGATGAATAATTTTCTCAATCAAATCAATGTCAAGAAAATAATTCCTTCATTCATTTGGATGGCTCCTCATTTCGGCTCATTCCCTGTAATCCCCCTTATTCACCTATTATCCTTGACTTAGGGACTTTCATCCACTTCGCATATCTGCGATCTGCTTTGCTCAGGACACCTCATTAGCAAGGATTATTGCTGCAGCACCGACTTTTACCTACCTACCCAACACTTCCCAGAGCCTCTACCTGGCTGTGACTTTGCCCAACTGACTGACTGAGTGACCGAGTGACTGAAAGCTAAGCCTTTCTCGTTCTCCTGGCTTAACTCTTGCCAGCGAAAGGACGTCGAAAGGGGTTCGTGTCCTGGCTGAGTGATGGGCACTGCGCACGAGGACGAAGAATGGCAGCAAATAAAAGTTTATGGCACCGTCGTAAATGGGCCGAAAACGAGTTGACCTGGAAGGAGAAAGGCTGAGGAGGACTGTGCGCCGTTTACTGCATTCTTCCTGGCAGCAAAGGATTATTTCGGAAACGAAACCTAATCCTCGAGCAGTGAGAGCGGGACGGTGACTCTACAAATCCTTTCGCAACCTTAGGCCGTCTCCTGGAACTGGGAAATTTTGATTCGCAAACTCGCAAATCCCCTGACTGTCTGGCTGCCTGGCTGGCTGACTGGCGGGTTAGTCCACCTTGCTGTCGAGTAAATATTTTGAGGTTTTGCGCTGCTTGTGTGCCAGGAACGCCTGGCTTTATTGGTTCATCATCGGATCAGCAGGTACATACAGGTCCACCGGATCGGGATCTGCCCCAGATCGTACCGACATCATCCAGCAACAATTAATAACAAATTAAATTAAGTTTCATCTCGAGTCGCGGCATCGTTGTAAATTACTGTTTTCCCTGCCTTTGATGTTCAACACTTTGTCAGCTCATTAATCACGGCTTTAGGGGAGGGCAGCAGCCGCAGAAGCAGAATGCCGGTCCGTCCGTGATCTCTGGACAGCTCCAACTTCCAACTTCCATTATCGCCCCAGCAGCCTCCAAGTCTTGGAGGTTACATCGGCGAGCTTTTCCTCCTCTCGCTCAGCTTTGCTGGGTAATTTCTGATCGCTACCGAAAATTAATGCGTAATATTTTGGATTTAATCATTTTCCGATCTTAGCTTTCTTCTCAGCTACTGTGCCTCAGAATTTTCCCTCCCCACAGCCGCCCAGTGGGAAGCGAATTAAAATTGTAATTGGTTTATTAACCCAGTTGGCCATGTCTCGGGCGCTATTAAATTGGCATTATAGTTCTGCTGGATAGAGCCAGACGTGTTGGAGATAATAAGATACCATGGATAATATAAGTGCGTTAAGGAGGCTTCTGTGCTCACAATGGATGCGATGGGATCCTCTGACTTCGGTCTCCAGGATCCGCAATTGCAACGGCTTCGGAATGATGTAGTTCAAGATCAGCATTGTCCGCTTGGTGAAGAAGAAACAGATCT